TTATTGGTTGGGGCATAGACTTGGATTACTGTGATATTGAATGGTTTGCCTTGGAAACAAACAGAGATCATTCTGTCATTTTTGAGATTGCACCCAGGTACTGCATTTTGGATTCTTGTTGACTATGAGGGCTGCTCTGTTTCTTCTAAGGGATTCTTGTCCACAGTGGTAGATATAATGGTCTGACTATAAATGTTAATTGTTCTTTAGAAATAACTTGCAAAGTCAGGAAATTATAGATAATACCATATTTTCATCTACTCTGAGATGAACACTTTTTTACATTTTCACATCTCTGAAATTGGGATGCTGCTTAAAATCACTGGCAGTAACTTGATTGTCACTGTGTGAAAGCCGTGTCACAGCAGTGTATATTGAGGTTAAGTGCATTGTCGATGTGTTGAGTTTAATTGCTTTAAAAATGTCTCCAAAAAGATATTTTGATTTAATGCTGAAGAATAAAGCTTTTGTGAATACAGGCACAGAAATGGAACAGTGGGGAGTAAATTTTATATTAATGGAATAAATGTTGCTGGAAAAGGGACTACAGTTCTTTATTTCCATGCCACGCTAACCAAATGCTTCATAGACCACAGAAAGGAAGATACCATGTACCCTGTAGTCAGTGAGGCTGTCTCACCTGTATTTGCTGAGGTTTGTGCAAAAGGTTGTGTATTGTGGACCTTTCTGGAAGAAAACTCCAGAAGCATTCATGTAGGACTGTTTAAGAATTGCCACATCACCATTGCCTGGCAGGCACAGGGGATGACTGTGAGGATACCCATGACCCAGGGTTAGTATAGACTCTAAACGAGGAGAGCCCATTTATTTATTTCACTTGTCTTCCACTCCTCTTTTGGTATGCATGAACGATTTAAAGATAAAACATATTCCCAAGTAATAAGCTTTTTGTTCTTATTGTTTAGTCACAAAGTTATGTCTGCCTCTTTGCAACTCCGTGAAGTGTAGCATGCCAGGCTTCCCTGTCCTTCACCATCTCCTGGAGTTGCTCAAACTCGTGCACTGAGTCAGTGATGCTATTCAACCATCTCTCGTCCTCTGTTGCCTTTTTCTCCTGCTCTCAGTCTTTCCCAGCATCAAGATTTTTTCCAGTGAGTCAGCTCTTCTCAGCAGGTAGCCAAAGTATTGGAGCTTCAGCATTAGTCCTTCCAATGAATGTTCAGGGTTGATTTCCTTTAGGATTGACTGGTTTGATCTCCTTGCATTTCAAGGGACTCTCAAGAATCTTGTCCAGCACCACAGTTCAAAAGCATGAATTCTTCTGTGCTCAGCTCTCACATCCACACATGACTACTGGAAAAACCATAGCTTTGACTTAAAGCTTAGTTTCAAATTAAAATTAAAAGTTTTAAGTGTAAGGAATCTCATAGGATATCACTTGTATGTGGAGTTTTTTTTTTAATTATACAAAAATGAACTGATTTACAAAGTAGAAATCAGATATAGAAAGCAAACTTATGGTTACCAAAGGGGAAGAGGGGGTGATAAGTTAGGAGTTTGGGTTTAACAGATACAGAGTATAAAATACACAGGAACCTACTGTATAACCCAGGGAACTATATTCAGTATCTTGCAATAACCTATAATGGAAAGGCACCTGAAAAAGAAAAAAAAAATTATATAACTGAATCACTTTGCCGTACACCTGAAACTAACACAGCATTGTAAATCAACTATACTTAAAAAAAACTTAAGAGATAGCAAGAATACAACCCACAGAATGGAGGAAAGTATTTCTCAAATATTAATATCTGAAAAGGGATATATATCCAGAATATGTAAAAATTCTTACAATGCAAGACTAAAAGACTATCCAATTAAAGATGGAAAGAAAAGAATGCATTTGTTCTGAGTTTAAGTGCCAGTGTGTTTTCTTCTTAGTTGTCTGAAAGACTGTGTCTGGCATTAAATGAGATCTTGAATTGAGTACAGCACAGTAAAAGAAATGTGTGTGTACTATGTTTGCGTCACTATTTTCCTCTGGTAATCCACTCTGACCTTTTTCCTTTTCAAGACTCACTTATCATCAGTGTTACTTGTAACAAGAAGTATTATACAATGTTAACCTGCTTAGTCCTTTACAATTTATGAAATATTTGTGTATTTGTTGTTTAGGTAGTAAATTCCCATGGTTCAGAATTTTAAAAATGCAAGAGAGTCTACAGGGAAAACTCTCCTATCCACTCCTGCCCCCAGCCACCCAGGTCCTCTCCCAGGGTGTGGTTAGTCTTATTAGTTTCTTCTGTACTCTTCCAGTACTAGGTATCTCTGTACATTCCTCATTTTTCTTATTGTAATGCTAATAATTGAATCCTTTATACACTGTCATCCTTGATGTTTTTACTGGCTACATTTGTGTATGTTATAAATATTACAAAATTATAGCCAAATATTAGTGCTGGCCAGTTGGTAGGCAAATGTAATTATAACTCAACAGATAATTTATACAGAGGCCCAAAGAGGTCAAAGTTGTTTTCCCAGTGACAGAGCTGGAACTCAGACCTGGCTCTTCTGGCCTCTATTGGGAAAGCACAAGAATGCAATATATTGGTAGACTAGTTTCTTTCAAATCACACTGTTCTTCCTTGAAATGCCAGTTAGCATTGGAAACTCCTTGGTGCTAGTTGGAGTCTCTGTCAGTTGAGACCCACTTCTGGGCCTTCAGAAATCATCAACTCTTAGTAGCCATTCACCACGCCCTTTACAAGGTATTTGCCTTCTGTGGACAGGGAACAGCCCATGTAGATGCCTGGAGGTATGGAGAAACCTGGTGAGTTGGGGGGAATTGGCCAGTTCTGCTAGCTTTCCTGCCCCCAGTTGCTCATGTGATCTCTCCAGGATTTCCTTTAGCCTCATCACAGAGCTCATTCATTCATACAGCATTGCAGAGTATAAACAGTTTCCTACAGAGTGGTTGCAGAGATGTGGAAGCCCAAAGCAGAGGTAAACAGGCGAGGAGCTGTTCTGTGGAGCTTCCTGCAGGCATGGTGCATTTTTGAGCATGTCCTCTGGTCCCCTCACCTGACGTTAGTTGTTCCCCAAGCTCATTTCTGTTGTGACAACTAGTAACGCTGGGTACTTAGTGCTTATCAAGAGTAACCTATTTAGATACATTAGATCCTAGCTAAGACGAAGAAGGCAATGGCACCCCACTCCAGTACTCTTGCCTGGAAAATCCCATGGATGGAAGAGCCTGGTAGGCTGCAGTCCATGGGGTCGCTAAGAGTCAGACATGACTGAGCGACTTCACTTTCACTTTTCATTTTCATGCATTGAAGACGGAAATGGCAACCCACTCCAGTGTTCTTGCCTGGAGAATCCCAGGGACGGGGGAGTCTGGTGGGCTGCCGTCTGTGGGGTCGCACAGAGTCGGACATGACTGAGATGACTTAGCAGCAGCGGCAGCTAAGAACTGACCAGTGGTATACTAGTAGGTGTTTAAAAACCAACCCTCTGGGATAAAACTTGGCCCTGACTTGTGGTACTTGCTGGCTTCTGTAATATAAATATCCCCACTGTGGCCAATTGTATTTGTGTGTAGGTAGGATAAGTACAGAATGGCCAGAGAGGCAGGCATTATTAGAATGATCAGCATGCCCAGAGATTACAAGGTGGGGTCACGAGGTTCTTTGTGGATGAGCTCAGTTTCAAGCATTGTTCAGGTAAGGAAGAATGTGATCAGCAAGGTTTAAACCTCATACATAATGCCCTAGACCCTGGGATTTGCCATCCTCTGAGAAGTTTCCCTGCAACCTGATGGACCATTACTTGTGCCTCATTGCTTCTCTTTGGAACCCGTCTGGAGACCGCAAGAAGTTTACCCAGGTCTGCAACCTAGGGAGAGTGAGGAGTATTAGGAAACATCCTAGTACATGGAAACTAGTTTTTAAGTCACTGCCCCAAGTCTTAGACCTTGAGGCTCATGCTGGGCTAGGATAACTTTTGGGGATTGTGTCCACAAGTTGTATCCCATTTAGGGAATCTAGTTACGATGTAATTCCTGTTTTCCCCCACTGGTATACAGTATAGCTGTGTACTCACTGGCTCACATGTCCTTCATCTCCCACTTGGAGCCTTAGGGCTCCCATACAACCAGTGGTGGGTAGGGCAGTAGTGGGGCAGAGAGATTGAAATACAGGAGCCCGGTCCCTAGTCGGGCACTTCCTCTGGGCTAAGTGCTTGCATTGAGGAGCTCAGAGCTAAAGCCTAGCCCCTGCCCTTCTCCACTTGAGTGGTGTTGGGGCCCTGCCCCCTTTCAGCTCTGTGACCTTGGGTAAGTAACTTAACCTCTTTACCTCTAAATTTTCTAGCTTATTAATTGGAAATGGTAATACATTTTTCCCCGTTTTTTTCCCGGCCTTGGGCGGCCCTTTTTTTTCAGGGTTTTTGCGGTTGCTTTTTTTTCTTTGGCCGGGTTCCCCCCTTCTTGAGTTTTGGAGGCGCCTCCCACTAGGAGAATGCGCTTCTGGCCAAAATGCGTGGGGTGTGGAGCAGTATCCCCAGTTCACACCCGGCTCTGAGCTCACTATCTTGTGTTCCAGGAATTAACTGACTTGCAGAGGGACCCCCCTGCCCAGTGCTCTGCAGGACCTGTGGGAGATGATTGTAAGTACCCTTCAGGGCTCCAGATCCCATGAGCCTTGCAATTAGGACCCCCAAATTTAGCTGCCCCTCAGTTCTTTTGTTTTTTGTTTTAAGAAAACGTATCATTGTTACTGTTGCTTTCTCCCTTTACTTGTGAGAACCTTTTCCTAAGATGCATTGACTTCATAGCCCGGCTGGTCAAGATGTTGCTGGAAGTCACCATCTCCCTCCACTGGGGCACAGGAAAGCCATCTGGAAAGCCAAACAAAACTTGGGGCATTGCTGGAAAAAATGGTCATGAAGCTAATCATGGAGGACCTGTTGCTGTTGCACTTGGGGTGGCACTGGAGGGTTGGTGAAGGGTGGGGAATGGGGCTAGCTCCTTGCCTCTGCGAAGGGAAGGGACAGTTCTTTTCTCCCACTTCTGCTCCCAGGGGGAGACTGAAGGAGCTGCAGTGGGCAGCCCTCTGCCACCCTCTGTAGCCGACTGGCCATAGGCCATGCTGTGCAACACTTGGATAGCCCAAATCTACTCCGCTATCCCACTTCACCTCTACTTTCTGAGCATCTTGGGCTCTGGGATGCTCATCCTTTACTGTGAGGCTCTAATAGCTGCATATGAAGGAAAAGTAGGTGCGTGAGGGAGAGACTGTGTAAAAAGAGGGGTGGTGCCCTTCAAGGACACCAAAGAATTAAAAACAGAACTCATATATCAGTGTTCATTGCACCATTGTTTATAATCCCCCAGAGGTACCCACATGTCCATTAAGAAATAAATGATTAAGCAAAGTGGTATATATATGTGTGTGTATACATATATATATACAATAGCATATTATTTAGCAATAAAAATGGATAAAGTTCTGACACATGCAATAACATGGGTGAATCTTGAAAATATGCCATATAAAATAAGCCAGAAATGAAAGGACAGATATTATATGATTCCATTTATATGAACTATCTAGCTAGACAAGGCCGGTAATAGAGACAGAGAGTAGAGTAGAGAGGTTTCTAGAAGCTGAGAGGAGACAGAAATGGGAAAATATTCCATGGTACAGAATTTCTGTTTGGAGTGATGGAAAAGTTTCAGAAATGGATGTTGGTAGTTGCACTGCATCATGAACGTGCTTAATGCCACTGACTTGACACTTAAAAATGGCTTAAATGACATATTTTATGCTACATTTTTGTGTCCAACTCTTTGCAAACCCTTGGAATTCTCTAGACAAGAATACTGGAGTGGGTAGCCATTCTCTTCTCCAGGGGGTCTTTCCGACCCAGGGGTCAAACCTGGGTCTGTCGTATTGCAGGCAGATTGTTTACTGTCTGAGCCAGCAGGGAAGCCATACGCTACATTTTTTAAAACTTTTATTGTGTTAAAATGCAAGAAAGAAAAATTTCACAGAGATGGGAAAAAAGAAAAAGAGGGAAGTAGTCATATGTGAGGAAGAAGTCATATGCGTGTGTTCCTGCATGTTCTATGGGCTGATGCTTAGAGGAAGTGAAAGTGGACAGACAGCTACTGAAAATGGAGGATTCCAAAAGCTTTATGTGAGAGTTTAAAGAATTCTTTAGAGCAGAACAGAAATGATTCCCATTGCACATACAGAGTTAGTGAACAAGTGTGGCTTCCCTGGTTTGTTACTTGATCTGTGTTGTCCTTCCAAGCGTCACAGGTCTCAGCAGCATATTTTCCCCCTCTTACCTGTTGCTTAAAACAATGTGTACTGGGGTTACTGATAAGATTGGACTGGTAATGATTCAGCCTCCGCTTTCTAAAGGCACCCCTTGGTGTTCTGCACCACACAGCCTCCGCCTTCCCTGCAGCCCTGTGCTGGGAAGCAGCCGTCTCTATCTGAGAGTCTAGCCACCCCTCCATAGTCAGTCCCTGAGTTCTGCCGAGGTTTGCACAGTCTTGGAAACTAGCTAACCTTTTGGGGCCATTTCATGCCTGCCTTGTGAGTTAACAGCCCTTTTCCTGCATCCCTCTGCAGTTTCCTTTCTCTTCCTGTCTCTTTTGGAGCCTTCTGTTCTGACTGTGCCTTTGGGTTCTGCTCAGCCCCCCAGCAGACCTCAGGGGTTAAAGTGAATGGGACCAAAGGGTCACCTGTTTGCCAGAAGGAGCCACTCATATTATCTACTCCTCCCCTTCTCTGTATATTAATTGTCAAAAAACATTTATTTAATAAGGAATTCCATTCTCTACTATGATTAGGAAAATGTATACCTACCAGCTAATGATTAGCATGAGTTGGAATAAAAGCAGTCAAAAGAAAAAGAAGTGACACTTTATTAGCTTAGGCAGCCTCATTGTAGATAAAAGGGTTCCCATCAGTAGCATTTCTTGAAACATTTGAAAAAGGGCAAGGGCATCTGTGACTATCTTTGGATACCTGTAGGGGCTTGGAAACCTCTTCTCTTGTCCCTTCAATTCCTTCCCCTCCTCATGCTTTGGAAACTTCCTGTCTGCTGGCAAGGGCAGAGCCTGTGAGATATTTGAATAGATGGCAGGAAACCCAGTACAGGACCAGGTCTGAAAATTGGGGCTGATTTCACATCCGCGATGGACCCATGAGATAGAATTCCGTAGAGAATAACAGATCCCTCAGATGCTCTCAGCAGCCCCCCAAGGTGGGTATATAGGCACTTTCTGCAAAGACGAGTACAGTGTCCTGGGAGCTTTGGGACTGAGTCATCTGCCTGCTCTAGGCCAGTCTTGCTGAGTGCACAGGAGCTTTTCTAGGGGTATGTACAGCAGTAAAAGTAGCGTGACTCCAGAGAGGGCCGCAGGCGTGCTGTGCAGCTGGAGAAAGCTCTGACACTCTAAGGAGGGACCTGGCCGACCACCAGGTTGGTGGGAACCTGGGAGGGAAGAACACGAGGGCTGCTCTTGGAGGTGTGAGAGGACACAGGCGGGAAGTAGCCATATTGAAGCCCCAGGGCCCCAGGCATCGACTGGTTCTTGAAAGAGACCCTTTGGAGAAGGCTTCAGAGTAAATAGTGAAGAACCGAGGAGAAGAGAGATTTCTAAAAGTGATGTGGAAAGTGGCTAAAACCTATGTAAGGCTTAATTCTGTGCAGAGAGAAGATTGAATTGTAGTTTATTGGCACCTGGATAGTGAAGAATTTAATTTTGTCCTTCGAAGATCTGGCCTTTGTCCCTAGCCTCAGGAAGGCGATGTCTAAACTACCCTGCCTGATAGGACTGTCTGTTTTAGCTGAAGGCCTTGACCCAAACCAGCAATGTGAGTTGGGTGGGGCAGGCCACACTAGACAGACCAGCCCGCAGGTTTAAGGTGGAGGTTTTGGATCATTGCCAGAGGAACTGGAGACATAGATCAGCATGTGAATAGTCCATTAATCCATCCCGCTAACATGATGGAGTTCCAGGAGAAACTGTACGCCGAGCCAGGGGTGAGCGTCCCTGTGGGCAGTATTCCATGTGTTGTCACACATCGGTGCCGGGGCTCCAGGGAAGAGGACAGTGGAAGGTCTATGTTTGTGCTCTGCCTGGAACTTTCCCCATGAGCTCTTCCCTCAGCTGACATTGACCTCAGCCTTTCACTGTCATAAAGCAGAGCTGTGAGCACAACAATCTTTGGTGAGTCTGGAGTCCAATTAAATTACAGAAACCCCTCCAGTGGTGGTTGGTGTCAGAAGTGAGGGCAGGCCTACGTGAACAGCGCCCTCTGAACAGAGCGGCTCCTCTTTGGTGGAGAGACGTGTTTGCTGGAGAGGCTCACGTTCCTGTCTCTCTTTTGTCTTGCAGTGTTCCACTGGCAAGCCACCATCATGGGCCCGGTAGGTCGCAGCTGCTGAGCACCGCAGCCCTTGCTTTGCCTGGCGGGCCTCTTGCACATGTACTAATCTGCTTTCGGTGTCTCATCCTCCAGAATGACAGTCCTTACCAAGGAGGCGTTTTCTTCCTGACCATCCACTTCCCTACCGATTATCCTTTCAAGCCCCCAAAGGTGAGGACGGGGACAGGGACCGGTACAGAAAGCTGCGCCTGGGGCTTTTCCCAGGGGCCCTTATCCACCACCAGGAGTGCAGCTTGCCCGGAATTAAACTCTGGACTTTCAGGACTCACTCCTCATGTGAGCAAGGGCTGGTGTGGTGAGGGCTTCCTACTGAAGCCATGTTTTCAGGGGGGTTCCTTGTGGGGTGGCTGACTTAGGATGTGTCTCAGGCTCCAGTTCCCTTCTCTGCAGTCCCTTTCAGTCTCAGACAGGACTTCTCAGCCCCTGCCCCAGGGACACTGAGGTTTTGTAGTAATAAAGCCTGAGATGGGAGGTGGGGAGAGGACTGCTTCTAGTATCCAGTGGAGGCCGGGAATGCTGCTCAGCACCCTGAACTGCACAAGATAGCCCTGAGTGTCCACAGGTGGAGAGAAGCTGGCCTCGGACCCTGGCAAGTCACCTCTTTCCTGCACCTGGAGGAGCCCTGCCTTCATGAGATTCACAGTCCTGTGTGGGAGAGGTTTAGTGTGAGAGCTAGGCCCTGCTGAGGAGACGCACAGAGCAGGAAAGTGGGATGGGACTGTGAGGGCAGGTGGTGGTGGGCTCACCCATGGGAAGCGTCACAGGGAACTGGAGGGCAAGCCTTGGTTTGGGGGTGGGATGAGCCCGAGGGGACCCATGGCGTGCAGTCAGTTGCTCTGCTGCGGTGAGAGGCTGGGTATGGCAGAGACTGCTGGTTAAGGCAGAGCAGGTGGCATGTTCCAAGGTGGAGCCAGCAGCACGGGCAGATGTGGTCACACAGCAGTGCTTGTATGTTATTCATATCATTTTTAACATATTTTTATCTTTCTGATGGAAAAATTGATCAAAGTGGGTTATTTTAAAATTAGAGCATATGGAGAACTAACTAATATACAGATGGAAATCAGTCTATGTATAAACTTATCCCCAGAGATCACAGCTAATAGCCTTGTGTACATTCCTCCAGGGTTTTTCTTCATATACCAATATATATTTTAATTCTTATTTTTAAAATAAAATTGTCAGTTCTGGTTGTGAGTAAGGAAGCCGAGGCTTTGAATGGGCCCTCCATTTCCTGAAAATGTTGTGGCTTATAGTGGAGGGTGGGACTTGAGCCCAGATGTGTCAGCCTATTTTTTGGTAACTTGTTATTTTAAATTAACTTTAGACCTAGAAAAATGTTGCAAAAATAGTACAGACTTTCCATATATGCCTTGTCTAGCTTTCCCTGAAGTCAACATCTTACTTTACTGAAGTCCAAGTATCAAATCTAGGAAGTCAGTGTTGGCCACATGCTCAGAGCTAAACTGATGGCCTTACTTTTTTACCCGTTTTCCTCGTGTTCTAGGACCCTGCACTGTATTTATTGTCTTGTCTCCTCCATCTCCACAGTCTGTAACCGAGCCTCCATTTCCTCTGGTCTTTCATGACCCTGATGCTCTTGAGAAGTATTGATCACTGTCAGAGACTACCCTCCCCCTGATTTGGGGTTTGTGTGCTGTTTTCTCAGGATTGACCTAAGGTTTTGCATTTTAGCAAGACTTACGCGGAAGTCTTGAATCTGTGCCAGGGTCCCCTGTCTCAGGGTTTGTGGTGTGTTTTACTGCCCTGAGGTTGACCTTGATGGCTCAGTTAAAGTCAGACCCTTCACCCCTGTGTGCACATTCTATCTAAGCCATGAGAAGAAGCCCCTCTGGGCTCCCCAGCCCACAACTCTCCCTGGTCATTGCCACCAGAGGCGATTGGTGCCTCTGTATTTTAAATCAGAGTTAAATGTGGTTAAGATTCTGGAGACTTTGCCAGCTTTTAGCGAAGAAGACTGGGTTGTGCTGGGCACAGGAGGACAGATAGTAAAATACCTCTCAAGTATAACTGTTATTTCAGGGGTTTGGTTGAAAAGGCACGTTTCATGGTCTTGAATCTACCCCCACTCTCCCCTTTCCCTGTTGAGACTTGCTGCAGTGTCTTGTAAAGTAGCATCTTATTCCCTTCATTAGTGTATAACTTGCTGCTGATCTTTTTTAAAATAAACAGATGGGATATAATCCTGTATGTCTGTTGGGCATTTTCAGGATTCCTGATTGCCCAAGGACAAAGCAAAAACAGCGCCTATTATTAGAGACTGAAGTCAGCCCTGTGAGTTGGGTTTACTGTAACAAGAAGAGTTGTGTGCCAAAATGTTGTGTCTTCTACAGTAGAAGAAAGTGTTTCTGTCTTTTTAAAAATCTCCTTTCCATAGGAGAACAAGATAAAATAAGATTGCTGTTTTGGCAAGAATTTTCTGGGTCTGTGGGGGAAATCTGGCAAGGTTGCATGATCTTCTCTACAGGAGATAATAAAGAATAAGGCAAATATTTAGTGCCTGAGACACTTTGGAAGTTTGATGCTTCCTGGAAAAAAGTGAAAAGTGAAAGTGTTAGTCGCTCAGTCATGTCCAACTGTGTACAGTCCATGGACTGTAGCCTGCCAGACTCCTCTGTCCATGGGATTCTCCAGGCAAGGATACTGCAGTGGGTATAGTGGATCTTCCCAACCCAGGGACGGTCAGGAAGTCTCCTGCATTCCAGGCAGATTCTTTACCATTTGAGCCACCAGGGAAGCCCCTCTTGGAAAAAGTCGTTTGGTAACAGATGCTGAGCCTCACATACACAGCCTTCCTCTCCTCATATTCTGAGTTGTTTTAAAATGAAACCAACAAAAAAATCCTGTTTTATTTTAAACTATTTCAGGCATGTAAAGTATTGTAGATAATCATATAATGGATACCCATGTATTCATCATCTGGCTTAAGAACTCCATTATTCAAGAAGACTTCTGAGTCCTGGCCATTGCTTTTCTTGTTAGTCCTCAGAACACACTACTCTGGGGTAGATGGTGTCAGTCCCCACATCTAGTTCAAGAGCCCAGCAGGGAATGGGTTAGGGGGCTTCTCCTCCAGGTGCACCCTCCTATATCCCATTCTGGTTTGAAATAATGCCCAGCTCACCCAAGATTGTGCAGGGCCAGGTATGTCCCAGTAGTGGTCGTTTCCACCTTACTTGGTTCATTTTCCAGACAGATACGATCTAGAATGTCCCTGTGGTCTGTCTGATGTGAGGTCTCTCATCTCTGCAGGTTGTTTTCACAACCAAAATTTATCATCCCAACATCAACAGCAACGGCAGCATCTGCCTTGACATCCTGCGGTCCCAGTGGTCTCCAGCACTGACTGTGTCAAAAGGTAAAAGGTAGATGTGTACACCAGGTTCTGATCCTGTGAGTGCCTGTCTCATGCCCATCTCTGTCACAGCAGTGTTTCTGCCCTCGCACTCCTGAGAGCAAATTCAGGCTCCGGGGAAGCAGCCTTGGTCCTAGCCCATGGTCACAGCCCAGACGGGAGGAGTCCGGAGTGGTGCTTTCCCCACCCCCACCGTGTCCACCTGGATCTGTTGCTGCAGGGTGCTCCAGCCAGACTGTTGCATGGGTGCAAAAGAAAATATTGATCCTATTTATACTTTTGATCTAAAAGTAAGAAAGGCAAATATTACATTGCCTCCTCCATTCTCTCATTTATTCATTTACGCAACATGGATTGTGAACCAGCCCCGAGTGAAGAAGACGCAGGGCCTGTGCTCTGCGTGAGGGTGAAGAAACCAGCCTAAACTGGGCTTAAGGAATGCAGATATTCCTTCCCAACTAAGATAGACTGAACATGGTTGTATGAACCCTGAGACTTGAACAGAGAGGGTGTGAGTTACCTGTCAGTGGACTGAGTGAGGTGGTAAAAAACAGCAACCTGAGAGAATCAGGGTACCAGAGCCCAACAAACACAGTGGAGTGTGAGGCAATGCAGGTGGCAGAGCTTTAGGCGGCAGAGGGGGCGCCACAAGGCCCCAGGACAGCTGACCGGAGCAGGCTCTTTGAGACTCGGCGTGGTAAATCTAGAGGGAAAGCTGCCCACTCCCGTGTGGTGGTGCAGATGCCGTGGAGCTGACTCCAGTACTCAGGCCTCCAGGAGACAGCTCCACACTGGGGGCCTGCTCCTCTCTGAACCGAATCCTCACCCCACTGCCTAGCATGCCTTTGGGCGTGGGGGTCAGGGCACTCTCTAAGAAAGAAGGGAGAGGAAATCAGAATGGCCAGGAGTAGGCACTTGAATGTGGAAGGAAGGAATGAACTAGCCCTCTCATGACACGTCCTCTGAGCTCAGAACAGCAGGAGAGTTGAATAGCTTTAAAAAGACAAATCATCCCTCAATCACAGTGTTTACCATAGTTTAACTGTGGTCAGGACTTGGATGGATTCACTGAGGCAAGGATGATACTTGTTTGTACAGAGGGTTCCAGAGCAAATCTAGGGTTGACAGTGCATTTAGCCTGGACCCCGACAACCCCGGCAGCACCTCTTCCCTGGCCTCCAGCCACAGCCCCGGTGGGAGTGTCCTCACAGGTGCAGAGCAGAACTGAGAGTGCAGGGCAGTGCACGTTTGCTTGGCAGTCACACAGACCTGGTTCCGAATCTTGTTTTTACCCATTTGGTGGGTGTTCAAGTCTGTAACCTTGGACAGGTCACCAGAATCTTCTGAGTTCTGGTTTCTTTAAGAGTGAACAGGGCCCCTGGGACCAAACCACAAAGGTACATTGGCACGGAGCCAAAGAACTTTTGAGATCAGGAAAGGAAGGCCAGAAGTGCCCTCGGGCAGATGTAACTGGGACACCACAGGGTAAAACTGCTGTTCAGCTGATAGATGGACAAAGTAAATACATTCATGACTGTTGGGACATCGGAATAATTTTGATGGGATGTTAAAGAGAAAATAATTGCTCTGTCAACAGAGAGTTCAAGTTGAGGGGCTCACTGGACCTGGGGTGACCTGGGAGCCTTGTGACTGCAGTTGACTCATTGCTTCTTTTCTTTCCAGTTCTCTTATCCATCTGTTCTCTGCTCTGCGACCCCAACCCTGAGGACCCTCTGGTGCCAGAGATAGCCCATACCTACAAGGCTGATAGAGAGAAGTACGTGTCCTCTTTGGATTGCCTTTGGGCCCCAGCTGCTCCAGGCAGCTCCCAGCAATACCCTGAGCTGGTGCTTCCAGGCCAATGAGGTTTTCCCATGGACAGCATCCTGCCCATTCTGAGCTGGGCTGAGACTCCTGCCTCTCTCACTAACATATCCTTTGACTCTGAGGAGGGAAAAAGAGATAAAAGCCCTCCTGGATAGCACATCAGCTGCTGCTACTGAATCCTAAAATATTATTGCCAAACCTGCCCTTGAGGCCAATAATGTCAGTGATCAGCCAAGAATGGACTGAGAAGAATCTGACAGCAAGAAAATTCTGGATTAAAATACAAGGATTTCATCACAAGAAAATGCGGTATCTGCTCAGATATGCCCAGGGTGAGGCCGAGGCTGACTGAGGTGGGAAACACTGCTGTGCTCCGTTTGCTAGTTGAGGCTGAGAAGTAGGCGGTGTGCTCCTGGTTTACTGACAGACCCTCACCGCTGACTCTGCGTTTAAGTACTGATTACCAGACTCATGACTACAGCATTCTGACTCATGTGGCCAGACACAACCATGTGCCCTGTAGCCTGAGCAGATGTCTGTGGCTGCTGAGGCAGGCACATTGTGTGAAAACCTCTGAGCGTTGACAGCACTGTGAGAAAGGGCTGGACATGGCAGGGCCCAGGCGTCAGCAGTGGTGGCAGGAGCAGGGTGCAGAGGGTGGCGTTGCTGGCTTTTAAAAGAACTCTCCAGTGGGTCTTCTAGTTCATTACTTCTCTTCTGTCTAAAGAGATTATAATGGAATGTGGTTTTCCCAGCATATATTTCTTGAAACCTTTACAGAGCTCATTATTTCCCTCATTTCAGTTTTCCTGTATGACAAAGTGATTTTTAATTGATGAGATCTTAATTTGTATTTATTTCAACACTTATTATGGTATATTTTAGATACACCATAAGTGATTTTCTTCATTGTCCCCTCTGATTACATAGCTCTCTTACAATGTCATGGCACCAGGTTGCATTTCAGTAATGTGGATAAATGCACTATTCTCAACGGGCACCAGACCTGCTCTGTGGCTGCCAGCGGTGGTGCTGACTCACACTCTGGCGGCCAGATTCATGGAGCGCATGTGCTGGATACTGGGGACTTCCCAAGCTGACCTCTATGTATCTCTTCCTGATCTGAATGCATCCATGTTGAAAGACAGGAGAGAGGGAGGGAGAAGGTCTATTACGCTCTTAAATCTTCCACAGCAGATAGTTGTGAAAAACTACTAGGACTCACCAAGCTCGGGATTTATGGCCGTGAATGGCATGTTCCTGGTCCAGGCGGTCTATTTCATTCATTCATCCGTCTTAGGTATTTGATGAGAAGCAACAGCATTTCCCCTATATCAGTTATTTTCTCTTCTGCACATTGAAAGGAAGTGACCATTATGAATGAGGGTGTCACTTCCTCTGCTTTTTTCTTCCAGGTACAACAGACTAGCAAGAGAGTGGACACAGAAATATGCTATGTAAGTGCCTCAGAGGTTTTACAGGAGACATTGTCCAAGGAAGCTGAGCCGAGCTGTTGGCTGAGCCACTCACAGAGCGTCATCTCTTCTGCAAACAAATGCTGATTACCCACTTTCTCCAACCACAGCATGTTGGTACCGCTCTCAGCCATCGTGGTTTTGACAACGTCACGTCTCTGATGCCAGATCAGTAGTCACTGTTGTGATGCACAGCCTTCCTGGCTACGCTGGAATCGGTCCCTCCACCCCAACTCACTGCTCACCTCCTGGGGGGACCTGAGTGCCTCCCCTGCCTGGCCTCACTCAGGCGGCATTGCTTACCATGGCGCCACACAGGGGCCTCAGTCTGGCCCCTTACCATGTGCTCTTTGCCTTTTAGAACTCGGTGCCCGGGAAGGAGCGGGCAGGCTTTCCTCACGTCGTGTCTGCCACAAGCCACATCCTGAGGACCCTCAGCTCATCCCAGGAGTTCTGGGAGCTGGAAACAGTGTCACTGGGAAGTGGAGGCCTTGCCCCACAGCTCCCACCAGTCTTCCTCAGCAGTGCCACGTGCTGGCACTCGCGCCCCACACCAAGAAGCTGTAAATAGAAAGTCAGGATATAAAGCACATAACACGCCATGAGAGATGACTGTCGTTTTAGAAGCAAGAACAAAATTATGAAACCTGAAAAGATTTGGGTTATGCTTTTCTATCTGATGAGATTTCACCATCCCTACCTCCTCCCAGTCAGAGCCTACATGAAGTCAGAATGTGAGCCATTCCCTGAACAGAACACAGGGAGAGAGGGGGGCTGTGAAATGTAAATAAAAATGTAATGCACTCATAACCCTGAATGATAACTGACATTTAAGTCTCTTTTTTTTCCAGGCAGAACAGAAGATACGGAAACTTTTAACAGGTAGCCCATCGGGTAACTGGCCTCCTCTCTTAAGTTTCTGATGTAATACATTTCAAGAGCTGCCTTTAGAGTTCAGAGGTTTGAGATTAGGTTAGTGAGGAGAAGGGTAGTAAAGGGATTATTCTAATTGAACCTCCAAAGAGAGGAGGAAAATTGAGGGACTTCACATCTCTAAAGTCCAATTTGGCCTAGTCTTTTCTAAGTGGTTTTCAAAGCTAGTCCACTCCCAGAACAGCCATATGAGAATAATGTTTGGGTGAGTAGGACCAGGAAGTGGACAAACACTAAAATTCTCCAACCAGATGGCCAGGTCTGTGGCGTTTGGAAGGAGGCCTACAGACCTTGCACCTGGGGATCAGCGCTAGGTGACCATGTGAGCCTGACCTGCTCCGGAAACTCTTATGTTGTAGCACAGCTTCACTGTTCTTGCTTTCCAGCAGGAGTGCTGGGATTAGTCACCACCACTTCCTTAGCAAAGTAGGCATCTGTCTGAGCCGGGTCTGCATTTACTTTACGGGGGTCCCCATTTGGGATCCTCAGTTACAAGGCTGCTTTCTGTGTTCCATGGGCCCCATTCCCTGCTTTGTACCATGGTGAGGATTGCCCTGTTAATTTTTTCTCTCTTTGCTACCCCTTTGGTCTTTACTTAAACAAAATGATAAACTTCAGATGTCCCCTGGGAACACTGCCGTCACACAACTCTGCCATTTCAGACAGTGGTCATAATACTCCTTGAACCAAATGTAACAAAGCCTAGGAACGTGGGACAGATTCAAATTTCAGAGACAAGTCAGAGGTTCAGAGAAGGAATATCCAGGCCCAAGTTGGTGTTGAGTTGGAGGGTGCCATTTTCAGCCTTTCAAGCATAATAGCTTATGACTCCCCAGAAGCTCATGAATTTTCTCTGTCTAGTTAAAATTTTCCCAAGCCTGCTATCTCTGTTGGAGATAATGCAGTAGAAAAAGTAAAATTATCCTTTGAGATCCTGATTATGAATTACCATTCACCCTTTGCTTGATTTGCACTCTGTACTTGGACAGGCCTGTACTTGTGCCAGGCCAAGTGATGGACAGGCCACCACAGTGATGTTCCTGTCCCTGGCAAATTCCTTGGACTCTCTACCCCTGGGAAACTTGCTTTTCAAGCCTTCCAGGGCTCAGATCAGCCTGAAGGACAGGCATGTTAAGTTGAAACCCTTATTTTAAAATGCACTGTGTTCAGGCAGCTCCCAGGTATCACACAGGTATAGATATCATGTTTCCAAGGCGAGTCTCAGATCAGTAACTTAACAGCACATCTAAAAAGCTAACTGTGCAGTGATACTTTGTTTTTTCCATGGACCAGAGATACCAGGGAATTGCATGATCTTAAGCAGTTAATCCAACATGAACAAATGACTTAACTGTGGCCAAAAGTGTCTCAGTTTGCTGGATGGAGCTGTGATCTTGATCCTTTGGCAGACTACAGGAAGACTCAAGAGTTCCAAGGATATGGCAAAGGGTCAAAATCTCCCAACAAGGGATTAAAACACCAGAACACCCATGTCCAATGGGCCTGGCAACTCACAGCTGGCCCGTGTGTCAGCACCATGGGATCCCACAGCACCTGACTGCAGAGGCTCAAGGACAGGCAGGTTTCTGTCTCAAATTCAGGACAAAGTCTCCTAAAGTGATAAAGAGGTGCTTGTGAGACGGGTCAACAGAGCTCCTGGCCCGAAGGCCTGTTCTGGTGGAGGCAGAGAAAGCCTCGGGAGCAGCACGGGCCACGTGTCCCTCTTGCCCTCACCTGCCCCCTCTTCTGTGCCTCTGTTCCTCCAGCCCTTCTCTCTGTGACACATGCTTCCTCCCTGGCAGCACTGGGTGGGGTTGAATGAGAATTAGATCTAGCCATGAAAGCTGGTCTGAGAAACAGGATGGCTTACCAGTGTTAGCAACCTGAGTCCTTGGACTCTTTAATCAATAGAAATTGATAAGAGATCAGACAAGGAATTTAGGCAAGGCTTTACTGGAACTCACGCTGCAGCAGTGGGAAGTAAGAACAAGTGAACCAGTGCCCTTGCTTGACCCCTGCAGGTGGCAGGGCGAGCTGGTCCCTTAAATGAGGTGAGGGTGGGGCAGACCAGTGGGTCAGGTTGGAAGGGTGGCTTGGGTGGTCTGCCAGCTCACATGGTGGTGCTGTGTGCAAGGATCATGTGCAGAACCCTGCTTTTGCTCCCCGTACCTCAGAAGTGACAGTTAGGTTTTGGTCTTTTTGCACTAGTCAGAATTGACCCCAACTGTGCATGCATCAAGTTATTTTTAGTCCCGTATAGTTTCTTTGTGTTCTTTTGCGCAAGATGTTTGTTCAGGTGTGAGCACTCCAGTAAAGGGACCCAGGCCCCAACCTATCTCACCAGCACCCTCACAACAGCAGCCTGATGCCATGCAGGCAGGCACACTGGCTCCCTCAGGCCTGGTGGTCTTCCCAGCCAGTCTGCTGGCCTCATCATGACCACCACTGGGGCTTCTCTTCTGTTGGCAGAGGGGTTTTATTAAAACTAAAAAGCTACAGAAAATCTGCAAACCCGCTCTCAAACCAAATAGTGGTTTCTTGACTTTCCTAAAAAGTGTCACGTCCCCATCTTACCCCATCTCTACCCCACTTCTCCCAGGCGCCTAATCCTTACCTTCAGATAGGCCCACTTGAGCTGTTCCAGCTCCCTGCAACAGAGCTTACCTCTGGGTGCACGGGCTTGGCTGGGCTCCACTTTAGGGGGTAATGACAGAATTGCCCTCTCAGAGCCTGCCTCTCACCTGTGCTGCCCACCCCACCACAAGCACAGTAGCTCAAGGGGCTAGTCATGGGGAATGTCCATCACTGCTGGCTGTCATTACTTTCTAATGACTTTAGGTAGCTTTATCAAGGCAATGACTGAGCACTTGCCAAGAACAAGGTGTGAAGGGGAGGGGGAAGGAAGAGAATTATGCCAAGAAGGGAACTACACAGGCCTCAGGAAGGAGCTAAAACTAGGGTAGGGCATGATGGATGGACAGGGAGGAGGGTCCTACAGGCAGAGGGCTGTGTTCCCCAACAAGCACAGCACATTCTGGGGACTCACCCAGCACCTGGCAACACTCCCGCACATGGCTCTTCCGGAATTGGGGCCCTGTTACCTTCTGGGTGTCACAGGGCTCACCTTTCTGGAGAATCATTAAAGGCAGAGGAGTGCAGGATGAATGGCAATTTTCATATTAAGTGGATGGCATAGTTCATACAAGCTGGTGTGTAAAACCATTTTGCACCCTAGACTCCCAGGTAAACAAGCAGCGTCACTGGGCTGGGGACTTCTTAGAGTCCAGGACAAGGCACAGAGCTGCATCTATCCCTCGATCCACATGAAGAAAGGAATGGAAGGACATTAGGCCTGGGCCCAGCCTCATGTCAAAGCTTGTTCCCAGGAGCAGTAATGACCTGGCCAGGGCACTAGAAGGTCAAGCATGCTTAATGGATAAAATGATCTACCAGCTCCAGAAACAAGGATGCAGATGGAGGCATGGGCGGTAAAGTTGGGGGTGGCAGAGGCAAGGTGTGAAAGGCTAATTACCCTTCTGAGGGAACTTGGCTGTTTCTTCCTTCTGTGTCAAATATCCAGCAGTAGGAATAATCTGGTGGTCCAGTGGTTAGCAATCTGTGCTTCCACTGTAAGGGTCACAGGTTCAATCCCTAGTCGGGGAACTGTGATCCCACATGCCATGTGACCCAAAGCAAGCTCAGGACACCATCCTGAAACAGGAGGAACTAACAATAAGCTGTCAACATCTTTGGGTTTAAAATGTTGGCAGAGTTGTAGTTAAACTGCAAAATCCCCATCACCTGTACCTTCTGTTCCCTTTGAACCTTCTAGAATTTCTGCCGACTCCTTGCTGTGGGCTCATCTGTCTACAACAGGGAGCTTGACTGATGCACACATGTCTCCAGGTCTTTGAGGTCGAGGCTTCAGCAAGGCTTGACCCTCACAGCAAGAGCTATGTGAGCAGCAAGTATGCCCTCTCTGTAAAGGGTTAGGATGGCAGGAAAGAGCACTGCTTCTCCTGAAGGAGGCGGTTTTGCCCTTTCTGTGAGACACCACATATGACTTGTGGCAGCCCCTCATAGCCAAGCCTTAAATGACAAGCAGACCACGTTGGCCATTCCCTACCCTCGGGCCTGAGTCACAGATCAAGCTCAAGACTGCAGCCTTCCCACCTTTCCACCCTTGACTGCTTACCGTCTGTTTAAATCATAACAGAGATTCAACCAGGAAGGTTTGGGGGGGGTTTTGTTTTGTTTTTAATCTCTCAAGATGTGAAGTATTTGTTTACTGGGTTTCACTTACTATGCAGCATAAATAAGTTTTCTTTTTAGGGCAGGAAAACCAATGATTTCATTTCTCCCATTCTGTCATAATATGGCCATGTGTGGCTGGAGCATAGAGATGTAATCCTGGTGGTTTTTAAGAAAATTATTTTCTTGCTAACTGACACTTCTGTGGATGAAGACTTTGAATAAAAACCAATTGTTTTCTACCAACTGTTGTGGTGTCAATGATTATGTACCCTCAAAATTCCTGTGTTGAAATCTTAACCCTCAAGGTAATGATATTGGGAGGTGGGGCCTTTGGGAGGTGATTAGGTCACAGCAGTGGAGTCCTCATGAATGGCATTAGTGTGCTTATAAAAGAGGTGCCCCAGAGAGCTTCTTGGTCCCTCTTGCCATGTGAGAACACATAATGGCCATCTATGAACTGTCAGGAGAAGGAGAGTCTGGAGACCCTTCCTCCTATGGGCCTCAGATCTTGGTAAGGATGCAAAGAAGAATCTAAGGTCTTGCCTGTTGCAAGAAAATAATCAGGAAAGAACAGATCACAAAGAGTTGGACAAGACTGAGTATACTGCAGATGGTGACCGCAGCCGTGAGATTAAAAGACGCTTACTTCTTGGATAAAAGCTATGACCCTTAGTATATTAAAAAGCAGAAACATTACTTTGCCAACAAAGGTCCATATAGTCAAAGCTATGGTTTTTCCAGTAGTCATGTATGGATGTGAGAGTCGGACCATCAAGAAAGCTGAGGGCCGAAGAATTGATGCTTTTGCACTGTGGTGTTGGAGAAGACTCTTGAGTCCCTTGTGCTGCAAGGAGATCAAACCAGTCAATCCTAAAGGAAATCAGTCCTGAGTATTCATTGGAAGGACTGATGCTGAAGCTGATGCTCCAATATTTTGGCCACCTGATGTGAAGAACTGACTCCTTAGAAAAGATCCTGATGCTGGGAAAGATTGAAGGCAGGAGGAGAAGGGGATGACACAGGATGAGATGGTTGGATGGCATCACCAACTCAATGGACATGAGTTTGAGCAAGCTCCGTGAGTTGATGGACAGGGAAGCCTGGTGTGCTGCAGTCTATAGGGTTGCAAAGAGTTGGACACGACTGAGCAACTGAACTGAGTATACACAAAAAAAGTACAGAAAGAACACTTCGAGAGGAGGGCCATGCAAGGGAGGCAAATGGCCCTGGAGGGCTGAAGTACGGGTTTTAAGGAAGGGTCATTTGCATAATTGGGGAGTGTCATTGATTGATAGCTGCAGATTATACAACAAGATGCTCTACTGTGCATGTTCTTCCTATAATTTAGTCTGTTATAATTAGATGTATATATTCATGGAATGGGCTTCCCTGGTCGCTCAGCTGGTAAAGAATCTGCCTGCAATGCGGGAGACCTGGGTTCTATCCCTGGGTTGGGAAGATCCTCTGGAGGAAGGTCATAGCAACCCATTCCAGTATTCTTGCCTGGAGAATCCCTATGGACAGAGGAGTCTGGCAGGCTACAGTCCCTGGGGTCACAAAGAGTCAGACACGACCAAGCAACTAAGCACAGCACATTCATGGAATATTTATGAGCAGTTAATGAGTCCAGTGGCTGACAGAGATTACCTTAGTACAGGATACTGTGAGGTGAGTACATGTGCTAACATGGGGAAAGTCCCACCAGTCAGCAGGTGGGGACTTTTTCAGCTCCCTGACTATTTTTGCAGTACTAGTGGGTGTATTAGGGACAGGGCTGGTAAATTGCTTGGTGGGATTAGGCGGCTATTGGACAGTTAGCTGAATGGTCCACCTCTCTATTGCTCTCAGATAACTTCCTGCCTATCAGAACCAGGAAGTGGGCTCTCACTAGACACCAAATCTACCAGTGCCCTGATCTTGGACTTACAGGCTCTAGAAACTGTGTTGTTCATAAGCCACCCAGTATGTGGTATTTTGTTGTATCAGCTTGAATGGGTGTAAACACTGGGGGACACTACTGTTGATTCCTTCTAGACAGTGGACTCCAGAGGGAGTTTGCCAGCATGTTCCCTCTACATTTGGGCTCACATGCCTTCAGGACACAGTCAACTGCCTTCAGAGTTCGAAGGACACTGACTGTTTGGGAGTTCTGCTTTCATGCCTTGGATCTGTTACCTAAACCCACTAGGAGAGCTTCAAGAAGCAAAGCAGATCTGAGTTCATCTACATGCAAGAAAAGTATAGAGGCTTGTGTGAAAGATGGGGCCAATTTGCTAAGAAAAGAGAAGAGTTCTAGGAATGACCTTTGGAGATATCTCACATTCTCAAACCAAGGGACAATCAACCAACAAGAGAGAAATGGCCAAAAGGAAACAGAAACTCCAGAAAAGCTGGAGTAGGAGGGAGAGGAACATGGAGAGGACCTACACACAGCAACTAGAGGAATAATTTAAAAATATCCCACTTCCCTGAAATGAATCTACCTGCAATGAGGGAGACCTGGGTTCGATCCTGGGTTGGGAAGATCTCCTGGAGGAGGGCGTGGCAACTCACCCCAGTATTTTTGCCTGGAGAATCCCCATGGACAGAGGTGCCTGGCGGGCTATAGCCCATGGGGTCACCAAGTTGGACACCACTGAGTGACTAAGCACAGCACACAAGGATTCCATCATACCTAAGAATAAAACCTGAAGTCCTTCCCCTAACTCACAGGGTCCTACAGGATCCAACCTGCACCCATGCCTCCTTCCTTCTCTTTCTTTCTGTGCTCTCACCTCAGAGCTCTTATTCCCTCTGCTTGGAACACTTCCACCAAGATCTTCCATAGCCACATCTGCCACCCTCCAGCCTTCATCTAGTCTGCTCCAGTGTTACCTCTGAGAGGCCTTCCCTGATCTGTCAAGTTGAAATAGGCTACCAAACACTAAAGCAGAAAACAGAATCCTAAGGCCCCCACATTCCCACACCAGGGACCCCTCTTCACAGTCATAGTCTTATCTCAGTGGAGCCTGGGTCCCCCTGCTTTTCCCTCATCAGTATGGATAAACCTGGTCACCACACTGAGCTGATCTATTTCCAGAACAAAGAGACCTACCCGCCTCTTTGGTCTGAACAACCTGATTCAGGCCAGGTGGGGCCTCCCCAAGTTGACTAAAGTGTTGAAAAGTGCTCCCTAGTAGGCCCTAGGGATTCGGGAAACTGGTAACTAGGATGTGTTTACATAGCAATACTACCAAAGAAGAGAAAACAAAAACACGTGGGGCCAAAGAGAATAAGGAAGAAAAACAATAAGACTGTGGGTTGAACTCCTCTGAACTATGGAGATTCTAAAAGGACTATGGTGGAAGCAAGGTCTGAAGCTATAAAGAGCAATATTGCATAGAAACCAGGTAGGTCCATGAATCAAGACAAATTGGAAGTGGTCAAACAGGAGATGGCAAGAGTGAATGTTGACCTTTCAGGAATCAGCAAACTAAAATGGACTGGAATGGGTGAATTTAACTCAGATGACCATTATATCTACTACGGTGGGCAAGAATACATTAGAAGAAATGGAGTAGCCCTGATAGTCAACAAAAGAGTCCAAAATGCAGTTCAGTTCAGTTCAGTTGCTCAGTTGTGTCCGACTCTTTGTGACCCCATGAATCACAGCACTTGGGTTCAATCTCAAAAATGACAGAATGATCTCTGTTCATTTCCAAGGCAAACCACACAATATCACAGTAATCCAATTCTATGCCTCAAACAATTATCCTGAAGAAGCTGAAGTTGAATGATTCTATGAAGATCTATGAAGAAGATTCTATTCTACATGACCTTCTAGAACTAATGCCCCCAAAAGATGTCCTTTTCTTTATAAAGGACTGGAATGCAAAAGTGATAAATCAAGAAATTCCTAAGTAACAGGCAAATTTGGCCTTGGAGAACAAAATGAAGCAAGGCTAATGCTAACAGAGTTTTGGCAAGCAAGCACACTGGTAATAGCAAACACCATCTTCCAACAATACAAGAGAAAATTCTGTACATGGACATCATCAGATGATCAATACCAAAATCAGCTTGAGCATATTCTTTGCAGCCAAAGATGGAAAAACTCTGTACAGTTAGCAAAAACAAGACCAGGAGCTGACTGTCGCTCAGATAATGAACTCCTTATTGCCAAATTCAGATTTAAATTGGAGAGAGTAGGGAAAACTAGTAGGCCATTCAGGTATGACCTAAATCAAACCCCTTACGATTATACAGTGGAAGTGACAAATAGATTCAAGGGATTATCTGATAGAGTCTGTGAAGAACTATGGATGGAGGTTTGTGACACAGTACAAGAGGCAGTGATCAAGACCATCCCCAAGAAAAAGAAATGCAAAAAGACAAAATGGTTGTCTGATGAGGCCATAGTGAGAAAAGAAGAGTAGTGAAAGGCAAAGAAGAAAAGCAAAAATATACCCATTTGAATGCAGAGCTACAAAGTTTAGCAAGGAGAGACAAAAAAGCCTTCCTCCATGATTAATGCAAAGAAATAGAGGAAAACAACAGAGTGGGAAAGACTAGAGATCTCTTCAACAAAATTATAGATACCAAGGGGACACTTCATGCAAAGATGGGCACAATAAAGGACAAAAATGGTATGGACCTAACAGTAGCAGAAGATAAGAAGAAGTGGCAAGAATACACAGAAAAACTACAGAAAAGATCTTCATGACACCGATAACCACAATAATGTGAATACTCACCTAGGGTCAAACATTCTGGAATGCAAAGCCAAGNTCATTGGAAGGACTGATGCTGAAGCTGAAACTCCAGTACTTTGGCCCCTTCATTCGAAGAGTTGACTCATCTGAAAAGACCCTGATGCTGGGAGGGATTGGGGGCAGGAGGAGAAGGGGGTGACAAAGGATGAGATGGCTGGATGGCATCTCTGACCCAACGGATATGAGTTTGAGTAAACTTCAGGAGTTGGTGATGGACAGGGAGGCCTAGTGTGCTGCATTCCACGGGGTCACAAAGAGTCATGACAAAGACATGACTGAGCGACTGAACTGAACTGAACTGTGGTGGATCAGGAAGTCACCTGTAGGTTGCATCTGAGGAAAAAATGACATTATAGATGTTACTGAGGGAAAAAAAAAAGACCAGAGATTGGGAGATCTGGGAGTCCTCTATTTACAAGAGTTTGGCTTTCTGATGTAAACACATTTGTGAAGTCAGAGTGGAGAAATGAGACCTATACACTGTAGAAGAAAAGATCCAGGGTGAACTGGGGGAGGGAGGAGGGCTGCAGATGGAGTTGCTGAAGGGAGGGAGTATTTAGCTAGGAGCCAGGTTTTCCCCAGGGTGGGACCAGGTAACTGCTCTGCCTATCAGAGAGATGTCAGAGTTTTTGCCTGTAAGACAAGCAGTGATGTGAACAGAAATGAAAATAGATGAAACAAATGAACAGTATTTGTGCCCAAATAAGGCTTACAAGTCCTTAAATGTGCAGCCCAGACCCCAACACCTTAAGATTTTGCTAATTGATTTAGCAGCAAAATCTGACCTGAACTGTCATGAGGCTGTTAGAGTCTTTCTATAAGCCACTTAACTGATTTCTCAGTCATTGCTGTAGAAAAATGAACATATGTGACTACCAGATTCTGCTCAGGATTCTGTGGTAGGGTTTACATAGTATAAAGGATACACTTGATATTTTCTGAAAACTGAAAGAGTGAATTTCAAACATGAAATTCTAATGGGTTATGGGACTGTGGATATGAATTTTAGGGAAATGAAAGTTCTCTAAGGTGAGAAGGAAGCTGTGAGCTGCTATAGGCCAGGCATGGGTCTCTGTTTCTCTCCAGATGGGTCAGTCACAGTCAGGTGCAGACTGAAGCATGGGGAGCTCCTTCCATCAGTCAGCTAGGGCCTGGAAAGAATCAGAACCATAATAGCAGGACCCTAGGAGGCCTCCCTGGGACAGACACACCACCACCACCACCAGGTCCTCCGCCTACCTCTTGTCTGTAGAAAAACTTTAGCCTCCTAGGCCTTCCCTGAGTTTCAAAGAATAAATTTAAGCAGAGAAGTGAGACAATGCAGAAATAAAGGAAAAGTCAAACAAGGTGAAATAATAAGTTTCATCACTAAATAAAGTCAAGGACCATTAGTTCCTTTTAAGGGCTATAGATAATATTCTGAAGTACATCCTTGAGCTTTTTTTTTTTTTTACAGATAATGAAACCCCTACCAGGTGGAAGAAGTTGATTGCATGCTGCTCACTGGCAGGTAGACCTCAGACTGGTCGGAACCAGAAGGTTGATGATGCTGATTGTTGATTACCTCACCACCAACCAATCAGAAGAATGTCCACAAGCTGATCTTGAACCCCACAACCCCCCTCACTCACCCTATCTTTAAAAACCTTCTGAAGTCCAGTGGGTGGTTTGGGCATTAGTTGCCCGGACTCCTTGCTTGGTGCATACAGTAACTGCTGCACTTTTCCCACCACAACCTCAATGTTGGTAGACTGGCTTTACTGCACTGGGACCAATGGACAAGTGGACCCAAGTTTGGTTGGGTAACAGGACCAGCACTGCGCAGGTTCTCATCTTCCCTTCGCTACCCCATCCTTGACCTCTCTAGAAAATGCAGGTGAGGTCTGAGAAATACAACTGCACTTTGAGGTAGGTTTGTAGACTTCCCTGGTGACTCAGATGGTAAAGCGTCTGCCTACAATGCAAGAGACCTGGGTTCGATGCCTGGGTCAGGAAGATCTCCTGGAGAAGGAAAAGGCAACCCACTCCAGTATTCTTGCCTGGAAAATCCCATCAACAGAGGAGCCTGGCAGGCTACAGCCCATGGGGTCGCAAAGAGTCGAAGACGACTGAGCGACTTCATTTTCTTTCTTTGTGGCAGCGTGGCCATCACTTAGTGTTCATTTTTATTCTTCTGCTCATTAATTATCACGCATGCTTCATTCTTAGATAAAACTATTCGGAATCCACACAGATGATCAAGGGACCCCCGTGCCCGTCACGGGATCCTCAAACAAGTGCTTTTAACCGTGATAAGAGTAAGAAAGTGCTCCACGAAAGTAACTAATGAGGGACTGGGTGGCATCCTTCGGCCAGACTCAGAGAGCGTGCCTTGGCTCGGCAGGACAGAGCGCGAGGACACGCAGAAGGCCACATTTTCCCTCCGTCGCCACGTACAACTATCTACATACCTCGACCCACCAAGAGCTTCCAGCCTGCCAGCAGCCCAACAAACGCCCGGCCTGCACTCGGCCGCTCACTCTGGGTCCCGCCTGCCCCCTTTCCGCTTCCGGCCGTCGGGGCGGGGCTTCCGGCCGCCGGGCGGGGCCTTGGGCTGCCTTGCGCGGCAGGTCTGGGAAGCAGCTGCGGCGGCGCGGCGATAGTGTCGCGGAGACCGAGGTTTGGGCTATGGCTGTGAACCTAAGCCGCAATGGGCCGGCGCTGCTGGAGGCCTACGAGAGAGTGGTCAACGAGAAGTCTTCAACCGACTGGTGGGCGACGGGGCGGGCCGGGAGCGGGCCGGGAACGGGCTGGGGCCGGGGAGCCAGGGCGCGCGGAAAGCTGAGCGCCGCGCACCTGCGCCACACCCCGCGAGATTAGGTCCCTACCTCCATCACCCCGTGCCCCTCTGTTTGTGCAGCTTAAACCCGGGTGGGGGCCCGGTAAGTCCCCAGCCCTTCCACTCCGCTAGCCACCGGTCTCGGCCCCTGGGCCTCGTTGGATCCTGGGCCTTGGCTGTGCTTGATGGCTTCGCCAGGTTCTCGTTTCCTGTTCGGGGACTTCCGTGGACAATGGGCACTTTGAGAAAGCCCTCTCAGCCCTCCTTGAGAAAGCGGAAGCTACATCTGCCTTCATTCCGAATGTTGTGTTCAGCAGTGGGACTCCGAGGGTGGTCTAGCAGCCAGACTGGAAATGGGAGCCTTGCTTTGGGAGCGTCAGACAGAGAGGTCGAGGGATTTAGGTCCTTGGTGATCTCCAGGGATTTTAAGAACCTCCCTTTCATCACGAAGAATACTACTTCGTATGCGTGAACTATGGGGAGATGAATGAAAGGAGGATGCTGGTTATGTTTGGGAAAGGTCCCACCTTCCCTCCACCTCCGGTGACATCCTTTGCTGGAATGTCGGTAATAGGGCCTTTATAGTACAGAAGGCCTGAATCTGAAACCTCTGGCAGAGCCCAGGGTAGCCCACACATAGACCCTTGTTCTGTCCTGCATCAAGGGTCGTTGTAGGCGTAGTAATTCTGTTAATTTCCGTATGTCTTAAATTACATTCACAGATCAGTTTTGAGCGTTTATAGTTCTAAGAAATATGCTGCATATAATGAAGTAAGGTGACCAACTTTGAGGAGCCTTATTCCTTTGCCTGGGAAAGGGCTCTCTGGGCGAGGCTGAACAACTGGCTTTCTCCGCTTGTCAAGTGCTACTGTTTTCTCATCTCTGCTTTCCCTGGTGCCCAGCCCAGTGGCTTCTGTCCAGTGTACTATTGGGATATCGAGAACACTAGTGCCTATCCTTTCCTTCACTCCGAGGCATTTTAGGGAAGAGCTTCAGAATACCAGCTTCCTGGGTCTGCAGAATTTCTGGGGCTACGTCAATCTGGGCAGGTCTGCATGTACAGACCTGCTGAAAAAATATCTGACCATGTCACTTCCCTGCTTAAACTCCGCAGTGGCTTCCTGTTGCATAAATAAAGCCTGGACTCTTCGCCATGGCTGACAGGCCCTGCATGACCTGGCTCCTAACTGCTCCACCTGTTTACCACCACTCTAGCCTTCTTTCGAAAAGACAATGGCACCCCACTCCAGTACTCTTGCCTGGAAAATCCCATGGACGGAGGAGCCTGGTAGCAGCCCATGGGGTCTCTAAGAGTTGTACATGGCTGAGCGACTTCACTTTCACTTTTCACTTTCATGCACTGGAGAAGGAAATGGCAACCCACTCCAGTGTTCTTGCCTGGAGAGTCCCAGGGACAGGGGAGCCGGGTGGGCTGCCGTCTATGGGGTAGCACAGAGTCAGCCACTACTGAAGCGACTTAGCAGCAGCAGCCTTCTTTTTCTTCCTTAAACTTGCAAGCTGGTGTTCCTCACAACCCTTGTTCTTTATGCTTCCTCTGCCTGGAGTGCCTTTCCACATCATCCTAGGGGGCTCCCCAAACGATTTCTCAAGCTCTGGTATTGCCTTTTTTGGAGAGGCCTTTCTAGATTCCTGTTCGTTTGGTTGCAGTCAGATATTCCCATCTCCCTGGTTGGCTTCCTCAGACACACACTATGCATCCTCGTTGATTTTGTCACCTTTTCTCTTCACCAGAAAGGATGGGGTGGGCCCCATCTCTGTCCCAGTTGTAGGGGTACTGAGAGGAGTACAGAAAAAGTGGCAGAGAAGCAAGAAGTGGTCTCCAGTTTGGTGGGTCATAAAGTTTCACATTCAGAGTGGGTGCATTGGAACAGGCTCTGAAGCGAGATGGGATAGGGAGCAGCCATAACATCAGCTCTCTGTACTGGGTCTTTCTCCTGGGGAAACCAGGTTCTTCCCCTGGGTTGTGGCATATTTGCTCACTTCCTGTACCCACTTCTCTACCTGACTATACATTAGTGTGATGTGTTTGCGTGTGTGTGTTTTGTCTCCATTAAAAAGTAAGTTCTGTGGTCAGGCCCTATTAAGGATTATTCATAGCTGTATTCCATCACTCGCAAGTAACAGGCTTTCAGACTGTTTTTGAAAGTGATTGAGTTATAAGGTACTTAGTGCCCACATGCTCCTTGTGCTGTGTGCCTGCACAAGCCAACAGCCAACACATCATTTTTTTTAAAATTTAATGTTGATTTGCAAGAAGGTTGTTTGATTGAATGTTGGATGAACTTCTGAACTGGGAACATTCAAGAAGGTGGCTTAGGCTGGAGCCTAGGATAAAGGGGAATGAAGTCAGAGGGGTGGATGGTAGGCACAAGGCATGCTACCATGCCTTGTTAGCTGCTGGATCTCTTGGAAAAGCGAAGCCTGAGCAGCAGTCTCTGTTTCGTGGTGCTTGTCCAGTGTGCCTGTCTTCTGCAGCCACGGTTTGTGGCCTTCAAGAGGAATGGGTTTCTTTCCTCCAGGAGGAAGGCTGGTCAGGACCCTGACCCCCAGATTCTGGATGTCTCCCAGATCTTTGGACCTGGGTATAACTTCTTCTGACTTTCTTAGGCTTAGGCAGCTCTGCCCAGTGCTGTTTTCTAGGCCCGTGGAAAGCTGAGTGGAACTTGATTTGGTTCCTGTCAGACTTTTGACTCTGCAGTTTCTGTCTGGCACACCTCAGCAGCCTGTGCTTTGGAGCATGGGGAGATGACACGCCAGATTGGGTTTTGACTGGGTTAATCCTTTGACTTACTGTCCCATGGATTACCACCTTCACCTTGGCGTCTGCCAGCACTCTCTGGAGCTGAGCTTCTGCAGGGTTCATGCTGATGGCTCGGCTTTATGTGGCCTGCATGGATGCTGTCTCTTTTAGAATGTTCTCTCTGTGTAATCTTTGTTCTGGTCAAAGGACCTTCCATGGCCCTTTCCTAGATTTAATACAATTTACCATACTTCTCAACACTTACAGGGCACAGATTTATAAGCCCAAATCTTTGCCAGCGATCTTATGAATAGTCTTACAGAAGGAAGGTATGACCCAGGGTCACCTGTGAAGACCTGAGGCTCTGCTAGGTTATAGAACTTGCCCATAGGAGCCTGTCCTGTGAGGAAACTGACTTCATGTTGTGTCATGGCCTCTATGGTTTCTGATGCCGTATGCAGCCTATAAAAGTCTGCATTTGCTGGAAGAGTCTCAAGCCCAGGCAGACCTGCTCCACCAACCTTTCAGACTTTCCAGAAGACTGCAGACATGCACACGGGCATTGGTTATTAAAAATGCATGTATTTCTCTATCCTCCTCCTCCTTGGCGTGCTCTGGTTTCAGGAATATGCAAGTATCTTTTGCTTGTTCATATGGACATACATGAGCTTCCCTCATAGCTCAGTCGGTAAAGAACCTGTCTGCAATGCAGGAGACCCAGTTTCGATTCCTGGGTCAAGAAGATCCCTGGAGAAGGAAATGGCAGCCCACTCCAGTATTCTTGCCTGCAGAATCCCATGGACAGAGGAACCTGGCAGGCTACAGTCCATGGGGTCGCGATAGTCAGACACAACTTAATGAGTAAACCACCACCACCATCGACATACATGGTAGCAAGGTAAATGTTTTACACATAAATGTGTAGAACGTTGCCGTAAAATTTCACAGCCTAGTTTTCTGCAAAGTAGACGCATGCTTCCCATCTCCATAAGAGTTGGTCCTCACGACAAGCCACTCTGGTAGGTTGGGCCAGTTCCAGATGAGAAGGCTGAGCTCTGGGAGCCCCAGCAGCCTACTGAGATCCTGCCTTATAGTGGGGCTTGTGTCAGCCCACTTGTTGCTGTCAGGCTGAGCTCTTGGGGTGCAGTGTGAAGCTTTGGTGGGTTCAGTGATGGCACAAGGTTACCAGGGCACTGGTTATGAGCCTATTTGTGTTTTGTTTCAGGGCCCTCTTTACTTACGAAGGAAACAGCAATGACATCCGCGTGGCTGGCACTGGGGGTGAGTATGGTCAAATGAGGAAGTAGATGGGCTACAGGAGCATCAGGAGGTGGGGGCAGCAGGGAGAGTTGGGACATGAGTGCTCTATCTCTGCTGGCATTGACACCATCACAGCAGGAGGAAGGACACTCAGGGTGCAGAGGTATCCCCTGCACGTGGCATGACCAGTGACACCTTCCCTGGCTGTCAGTGAGCCTGCCCCACATCAGTGTCAATGTTGAGGAGTTCCCTGCTCCCCTGACCTGAGAGACTGCAGCCAACCAGGCAGGACTTGCCCACAGCTCCTTCTGGCTTGCTTTGGGTTTCAGATGTTTCTAAGTGAAAATACCTACTCCTTGGCTGTCTCTGCCTGGAGGTGCAAGGCAGCTAGTGCTCTATCTCTGCTGGCATTGACACCGTCACAGCAGGAGGAAGGACACTCAGGGTGCAGAGGTATCCCCTGCACGTGGCATGACCAGTGACACCTTCCCTGGCTGTCAGTGAGCCTACCCCACATCAGTGTCAATGTTGAGGAATTCCCTGCTCCCCTGACCTGAGAGACTGCAGCCAACAAGGCAGGACTTGCCCACAGCTCCTTCTGGCTTGCTTTGGGTTTCAGATGTTTCTAAGTGAAAATACCTACTCCTTGACTGTCTCTGCCTGGAGGTGCAAGGCAGCAGTGTTCTCTGTGTCATAGGTGGGAAGAGCTGAGATGGGGAATAGGCCTGCCCTCTCTAGCTTGCAGACAGCCCAAGGCCTGGCCTGTGCTCTGTCCTTAGCCCCGGGCTGTAGCTGAGACAGGATGACAGTCCCCCAGAGCTGAGTGTTGGTGGAGAAAGAGAAGGTACAGACACATCCTTCCTTCTGCCCTCTTTCTGGTGGATTGAATATCTGCTGGGCACACCCCCACCTGGGAGAGGTCATATCAATGTATATGGTCAGCTGGGACAGGGTGACCTGGAAAAGTGCTGCCCAAATACAGGGTGATAGGAAGGCTGTTGGGAAGAACAGGCTCTTGGCCAGTGCTGGGCAGAGGGGTATAAACTGTAGATCCCCCACCTGATACCCTTGACTCCTTAATTCTCAAGGCCAGCTCACCTGACCTGAGTGACATAGCTTCATTATTCAGTGCATGCTCACTGGCATGTTCTCTGCTTGCTGCATGAATGGTTCTAGTAACTTGTTGGTAGAAAACCTCTTTCATGAGAGGTTCTTCTTGGGTGGTCGTCTTTCTAGAAGGACTGCCACTGACGGTGGAGTCAGGTGCACTGTGATGTCATAGGGAACTGAGAGTTGCAGAGTTCAGGTTTCATGCCACCATTCGCAGTGATATTCACAGGCTCTGCTGTGGGTGCCCACAGCAGGGCCGCAGGACTGCCCCAGGTTTTGTGGAGCCCAATAGGTAAAATACCTGATCCAGTGCTTTCTCACAACCTGGGAATGTCTGGGGTACCTGAGAGGAATCCAGAACTCTAGTGCATGCTGGGGCTTACAGCCTAAGTGTCAGGGGAGAGTGGCATAGGGTCGACCACTCCTATTTCCCCATCACTCCCTTGTCCCTACTCAGGGAGTCTAAGAGCTGAGGCCCTATATGACTAGGCAGTTAACATCTGCTCAGGAGCCTCTGGTGGCCCTGGAGTCTGAGCAGACATGTACGGACAGGGTGACTCACAGCAGGCCCTGCTATCCCGGGGCGGTTAGTGGAGTTCAGGCCGTGGTAAAACTATTGCAGAGCTCCTCCATTGGAGGTCTGGTGCCTGCCTGGTTTGCAGCAGAAATGACATTTTTATTTCCAGAATTACCTGTAAGTTTGCAGGAGGAGTGATTTTTAGACTAGTGTGGCTTAAAAATCACTTGAGGTGCTTTTCACAAGTGCAGACCCTGGGGTCCGTCCAGTTCTCATAAGTCAGCTTAGTGGGGGTAGGCCTAGGAATCTGATTCTGTTTCAGATAGGACTGAGAACCCTGGCTTAGAAGCAGCTTGGGTTTCCTTTCCTGGTGGACTAGGTGCTAGGGTGGGTGTGGGGTCCCTGGACCACCTCTGACTCTCCTTGTGACTGCTGCAGAGGGGGGCCTGGAGGAGATGGTGGAGGAGCTCAACAGTGGGAAGGTGATGTACGCCTTCTGCAGGGTCAAGGACCCCAACTCCGGCCTGCCCAAGTTTGTCCTCATCAACTGGGTATGTGGAACTTGAGGGCTTCTGAGTTCTCATCTAGATGTGATCCAGAAAAACTTCCTCTTCTTATATCCTTCTTTGCCTTTTGTGACTGGAGCAGGGGAGAACTTGACTTCCCAACAGCTTGAATCTGGTGACTGGACAGAATAGTGGGTTCATTCATTGTGGCCCAAAGGGCACCTGGGGCCTTACTTGTGCAGACTTCACTGTCCTGGCCCAGAAGTACTCCTGTAAAATGGATTACAGGCAACCACAGGACACTCTTGTCCTTGTCCTTGTCCCTTTCAATGTAGTCATCCTCGGGGAGCAGAGGGCCTGGATAAGGGCTAGGAGGGCTCTGGGAGTATAGGACAGTGACTGTAATGAAATGGCTCCCCTGGGTGGGGACTGTGGAATTCTAAGGAAACTTACCACAGTGGAAGCGGGTGACTTCCTTCTCCAAGACTCTGCCTGACTCGGAGGTTTGGGGTCTCACCATGTCCTCTGCTTTAGGGATTGCGGTTTTGTCTTTCCTAGAACACAGGGAAACTGCCGAGTCCCTGGGGTGGGTGGTGACTTTGCAGGGAGACCTGGGTGACATCGAGGAATGTGCTGTGTTGCAGACCGGTGAGGGTGTGAATGACGTGCGGAAGGGAGCATGCGCCAACCACGTCAGCACCATGGCCGGCTTCTTGAAGGTGAGGGCTGCTCTGTACGGGGCCTCCCAGCATTCACCAGATCTCCAGGTTCCAGGGTGTGAGGTGGCAGGAATCACATCCAGAGTTGGAAGTGTGCCTTGCATCTGAGGCTGCTCTGCTCTTGCCCAGGATGTAGCCAGAGCCCCTGCAAGCTGGCCTCAGTGGGTGGGGACAGAGGACCACAAAGAGGCCATGCTGGAGCTGGTCTTGAGGCAGGGCTAAGCCTTGGGTTCCACTTGTTTTATGAGGACAAATTTTCAGCTATACTTTAAGGATCTGGAGGAGAAGGATAGTTGCTTATGTCCACAACCTCAATGTGCATGTTCCCTTTAATGCTTTTTTTTCCCCCAGTCCATTTCTGCATATATTTATTTTAGTCATCATATAATGGAACTTTGTTTAATTTCAAAAGCATTGTGATCAAAAACTATTTGTTGTTCACTTGTCAGCTTACTCTTTGCATTTCTTTGGTTACTGGCAAGGAGATCCAGGACTTTGTTTTCTGGTTCTGCCAACATTTCTTCATATGTACCTCAGTTTCTCCATCTTGGAGGTAAAAGAGAGGGTCCCAAGCTTATTGGTGTTTAGTACCAACAAGGTCATAGTTCTCATTTTTCATGGAGAAATAGTAGCTTGCTTTTTGCAGAAAATGTGCTTGTTTCCAGGTGCCTTTTAAGGTTCGTTTTCATTCACTGGGAAGAAGCTCTTTAATGCCAGGGCTGTCTTGTAGCAGCGCTGAACAGGCCACACTGTGGAGGGCGCGGGCCTTCCACGAAAGCTGGGATAAGAACTGTAGGTTTCCCTCAGCTGGTTTTCCTGAGGCCCTGGTCAGAGCAGGCCTCCTGACCCTGAGCCCTGTGCAGCCTGTCCTCCCCTGGGGCCGCAGTGCTTTTTTCTCATCAAGTCCTGCTCCTGCTGCAGGGGGCCCATGTGACCATCAATGCCAGGGCCGAGGAGGACGTGGAGCCCGAGTGCATCATGCAGAAGGTGGCCAGGGCCTCAGGTGCTAACTATGCCTTCCACAAGGAGAGTAGCCGCTTCCAGGACACGGGCCCCCAGGCTCCAGTGGTGAGTGCTGTGTGGCCCTGAGGGCAACCCCTAACTTCAGACTGATTGGACCCACGTTCAGTGCTTTATTCCCAGAGGGATTGGGCCGCCACCTGCCTGGCTTCTGGTCCCGGAGCCTGATTGAGGTGCCTATGGTGACCCTGTGCCTGACAGGAGCAGGAGTTGCCTTCTTGAGGCAGGCACCAGTGCGCATGAGGAGTGGCCTTTCACCCTGTGCGGTGGTGCTGGAGCCTCTCACGCTGCATCTGTGTGGTCAGGGGTTCTCTGCAGAGAGATTCCATCCACCCTGCAGGCCACGGCACCAGAGTATCCTGTGTGGCCCTGGACAGTGGTTGCTTTGGAGCAACTCCTGGTGGTGTACAGGGGAAGCCTCTCTTAAGTTGTGGCCACACACCTTTGGGCTTGTGGCCTGGTGCTTGCTGCGGAGCTGAGTCTCCCAACACGTAGCTGAGGTTCTCGGGTATTCTGTGGGTGCTGCATTGCAGTTAGCTGTCTGAGGAAACCCCTGTCCAGAGTTTTCCTCAGCACGGCCCAGCTTCCAGGATTCTCAGGCAGGCCCAGGGGCCTTTCCTGCCTTAGCCTCCGTGCACAAGGGCCTGGTGTAACCAGAAATGATTCCAGTTTTCTCTGGGGTTGAGCATCCCCACTTGGAGTTTCCAGGGCCTTTCAGGCTGTTTTTGTTTCAGGCCTCCTTAAGAGTCACTGTTCCAAGCGCCACTCCTCCCAGGTGCCATCACAGCAGTTCTTAGCCATTCTGTGCTCCCGTCAGTGGCCCTGTAGTGAATTCTCTGTCCTCTCAGGGCTCAGTGTACCAGAAGACCAATGCTGTGTCTGAGATCAAAAGGATTGGCAAAGACAGCTTCTGGGCCAAAGCAGAGGTAAGTGCTGTCCAGGGCGTGATGACGAGAGCTGGCATTTACGTAGCATTGTCTGTGCACCAAACATGAGCTGCTACATCTCAGTTTTTCTTACAATAAGTTCACTGATACTTGTTCAGTAAGGGATTTGAATAAATAAGCCTTTTGGCACCCATTTGCAGATGGTTGAACTAAATGGTTAGAGGTGTTAAGTAACATAGCTAGTGAGCGTTGCTTTAGAGCCTACGCTTGACCACAGCCTCTGCAGCCTGGCTGAATAGGTCACGGGTGAGAGGGGAGGTCCATGTTGCCGGCAGTGCAGAGGCAGAGTGCGGCAGGCGGGTGCGACTCTCCCTGCAGAAGGAGGAGGAGAACCGCAGGCTAGAGGAGAAGCGGCGAGCGGAGGAGGAGCGGCAGCAGCTGGAACAGGAGCGCCGGGAGCGGGAGCTGCGCGAGGCTGCCCTCCGGGAGCAGCGCTATCAGGAGCAGGGAGGCGAGGCTGGCCTCCAGAGGTGAGGTGGGGGCTGGCACCTACTGGGAGGGGCTGTCTCTCCTTCTCCCTAGGAGTGTCCCCCAGAAGCAGGTAAGGAGTATGCTGAGCCAGGCTGCAGCTCTTCCCTCTGCTCCTCCCAGCAGGAAGTATGAACAGCATGATGTGGTTTCAAGGAACAGAGAGGAGCAGGTGAGTCTTGGATGCTCCCACCTTGAGAGGCCAAAGTAATATGCGGAGGCTCGTCCAGGACAGGTGTGTAGGCTGCCTGCTGGGAACGATGGTGGCCACATGGATTCCTCCAGATGCACGCATCTTGTGCCACAGGCCCTAGAGAGGGGCTTCCTCTAAGGGGCCTGCAGGGGGCTGGGCAGATCTGAACATGGGACATGTGGTGTCTCAGAGCTGGCAGTGGAGAGGAGGCTGAGGGCAGAAGCTTAGCCCGATGTGGGTCTCCTGTGATCCTGGAAAAGACCTGTGAGCCCCTCAGCTTTGGGGTGTTGCTTCCTGACCCCCCTGCACAGCTGCGGGGAGCCAGGCAGGCCGATGGACTCCTGGGCCTCATTCACTATCGGGTCCATGTGCACTCCTCTATGAGCTTGTTTGTCCACAGCCAGCACACCCACGGGAGATTTTCAAGCAGAAGGAGAGGGCCATGTCTACCACATCCATCTCCAGCCCTCAGCCAGGTGAGACTTCCCTTGGTCCAGCTGTGAGGCAGGGGATGGCTGAAGGGGTCTGGGGTCCCAGTACAGGCTGCCCTGAATTAGTGACAGATGTATCAGAACGTGAAAGGGATGATTAAGGAGAGCCTGTGCTTGTGTGGGTAGCTTCTGGGATGCAAGCCTGGGACCCAGGTGCCACCTTCCTGCTCTTGACCTCCTCCTCCAGAGACCTGGTGGGACAGGAGGGACCATGTGTGGCTCTGCAAAGAATACTCTCCAGTCCTGGCCCTGTGCCCCTGGCACAGCTCCCGTGCTGGGCTGTTATCTGGGCCTCAGGGCCGTGGATCCGTCATCTCTCTGGCCCTCAAAGGCTGTATCAGACTGCACTGCTGGCCAGCTCTTGAACACTGCACAAGGCCCACGGTGCACATATGTGATGTGTGCATGCTAGGTAGTATTCCTGTAGCTGTTCCACGTCCCCATTCACTTCCTGTGTGATGCTCACTGTCCCAGAACAGGTCCCCCTTCTGAGCAATACAGAGCACAGAAAAGATAGCAGGTACTTGCTTCTTCCTCCTTTCCAACTGTGTGATGTCTTACATGTCTACCATTGGTTTGTAGGCAAGCTGAGGAGCCCCTTCCTGCAGAAGCAACTCACTCAACCAGATACCCCCCTCAGCAGAGAGTCAGCTCATGCCACCTCAAGGCCCAGGGCAGGCAAGGCTGTTGGCTGCCCCGTGGAGGGTTGAGGGTGGGAGGGAGACGTGGGTTGTCCTGTCCCCTCCCCTGGGTCAGAGTGAGTTGTGTCCCCTCGTGCAGATCTCCGCGAGGAGCCAGTGCCCAGCATCCCTCCGTGTTCGGTGCAGGTGGAAGAGGAGGCCGTGTACGAGGAACCCCCAGAGCAGGAGACTGTCTATGAGGAGCCTCCGATGGTGGGTTTTCTGCAGCAGGGCAGATCTGTGAGGGGGCCGCATACTCAGAAATGCACTCCCTGGCTCTCCCATCATGGGACACCTAACTTTGTGCCTCACTGCCTGTGACTCATCTCGCTTAGTCCTGGAGGAGGCCCTGGCCCTCGTGCCCTCCCCACAAGTCTGTGGTGGGCCCTGGTCATGAGCAGGGTTGCGTCTGGGGTAATCAAGACCTGAGACTTGGCTTCTTCTTTCCCGTCCATGGGCAGGTGCAGCAGCAAGATGCCGGCTCGGAGCCCGTTGACCACGCCCGCGGGCTGAGTGGGAAGGGGCTCTGTGCCCGGGCCCTGTACGACTACCAGGCAGGTAATGTGCTGTCCAACCGCCTCCGGCCACAGGGCCCAAGACCAGGAGGCGGGGTTTGGGGCCCCTCGAGGAAATAGCCCCAGGAGGGGTCAGAAATGGAAGCAGGGTGAGAAGGAAGAACGGGTGGGTGTGCTGCACAGCTCAGGCGTCCCCACGTGCTCTGAGCAGCTGCTTGCTGTCCACTGGTGTGAATCCCAGTTGCCCACCTTGTTCTGGAACTAGAAATATGACCAGAGGAATGGGTCAGAGACCTGGATGCTGGTACCCCTCCCGCTGACCCTGGGTGGAGGCTTCAGGGAGCAGGCTGATATGTGGAAGTGCTATATTCTAGTCTTTCACTGGGACAGTGGTCCCAGAGTCAGACTGTAGAAAGATGTGTCCTGGGGGACTGGCCACAGGAGCAGCATCAGGACAGGCTGGTGGCCAGGGTCCCCGAGCTCTCAGCACAGCATCTGGGCTCACCTTCTTTGCAGCCGACGAGACCGAGATCTCCTTTGACCCTGAGAACCTCATCACCGGCATTGAGGTGATTGACGAAGGCTGGTGGCGTGGCTATGGGCCAGATGGCCACTTTGGCATGTTTCCTGCCAACTATGTGGAGCTCATTGAGTAAGGACCCTCGACTGCTGGCTGAAGCCAAGGGCTGTCCTTCCCTTCCCCACCCAGATGTGATTTCCTTCTTGCTGGAAGAGGTTGGGTGAGGGTTGTGTACGGCACTTTCAAGGAATGGTATCTGCTGATGAGGACAAGCCCTCTGGCTCCCTCTGGCTTGGGTGGCTTGGCCTCTGTTACCCCAGATGCAGCAATAACCTGGTGATCTCCAGACGTGCTACCAGAGCTTCCCAAACTCCCAAACAGCCTGGCCCTTGACCCCCAGCAGAAGACACTGCGCCGAGGCCTGCCCAGAGCCAGCCCTCAGTAACCTCTGCCCCAGGAGTGTGGCGCTGCCAGGGGCGGGGGGTCTGAGCAGGGGCACCTCGAGGCCTCCTGCATTTGCCTTTCTTTCCTTTTCCTCTTGGCTCTATGGGATGGTGTCTATAACTAGAATGTCCGTGATCCTTGGGAACAGTGAACTTAGTTTATGACCAAAGTCGGAGTGGGTCATGACTTTGACGACAGTATTTCTGGATCCTACTCTGTCCTGCCCATTTCTCTGTTCCTCTGCCTGGGCTGTGGGCAGTGGAGACAGAGACGACCAAGCCCCCATCTGAATATGTGAAGGAGGAGGTGAAAACATCAACAGACACTGCATTGCCTTCCATGTGGCTCACTCTTGTCTCCTGGCCCCAGTGTGCCTGAGAGGTTCAGGAGAAGTAACCATGGTGGCCTGTTCCTGCTGTCTTTCCTTATTTCTGCCCCAGCCCACCTATGTCTGCTTTTGGAATAACAACTGCCCCACACAGGCGCTAGCTCTGATCCATCCTATTGTAGCCCTCACCTGTACACCCTCTGACCTCTGACCAACCATTAGCCACCTAGAAGAGGCATAAAGATCTACATGTGACTGAAGTCAGCCTTCTGCATCTCAGTTCTCTGGGAGGGGCCGAGGACCACTCTGACCCCTGCCACAGGGAACTTCCCCTCACCCAGGACAGCCCGTGTGCCTGTGTGCATGCAGCGAGGCACCCACACCACCGTGTCTGGGGAATTACAGCTCCTCTTCTAGTGCCTGGCAGAAGCAGCGTGGGGCAAAGGATGTGCTGAGGAGGCTGCCAGCCCCAGGCAGTGGGGCTGGTGGCCAGTCCCAGTGCCTGCCACCCCCCACCCCCCCCACTGCCTGGCTGCAGATGGCACTTCCTGTCGACTTAGGCTGAGCTGCAGGCAGGTCCCACCATGTCCAGATATCTCAGGACCAACTCCAAGGCTCACCCAGCCATGGGAGCTCCATGAATCACGTATTGCCAGCTTTAAGGCCACCTGTGGGCTTGTCTGTCCCTGGACAAGGGGACACTCACAGGGCAGGGCCCAGGCTACCATCTTGCCCTTCCCACCCTGGGGCTGCAAAGATGGTAGAGGACAACCAGTGTGAAGGAAGTGGTGTCCTGGCTCACCACGGTGTGGGCTGCATTGCTTGGACACCCCTTAGGTGACCTTGGGCACTCTTAATTTAGAGCAAGGCTACCAAGTGGCTCCAGCTTTGGGGGTTACATGGTGAGTTGTCAGGAGCCACTTGCTAGCCAGGAATAGGGAGTCTCTTGGCCACCACTGATGGGGATGGGTTGGGCAGGCAGCATGGGCCTGGGACTGTGCTTGTGGCATCCCAGGCTGCAGACCTGCGGAACTAGCCCTGAGGGAGTGCTGGGGTAGCGGGTGGGCTTCTGCCAACCCACCTGCCAGACGTCTGGGGCTGTGCTGAACTCGAGGCTGTGGAAGGAGGTGCCTTTATTGCCAGAGCCCGCCCTTCACTTGGCCTTTCCCTGGGCGGCCACAGCTTCCATGGCCTTCCGCACGGTCTCCTCGTCCCCCAGGAAACGCATGGGCTTGGTGGGCTTCAGCGCCTGGTCCAGCTCGTACACGATGGGGATCCCCGTGGGCAGGTTCAGCTCCATGATGGCCTGGTCCGACATCCCTAGACCAGGGGAATAGGGTCCTTAGCCCCTCCCAGCCTGTTGACCAGCCAGCCACCTGCTCATGCATTTAGCAGGTTTCGTGACCTTTATGGGCCACAGTGCAGTGAGCCAGGCAGCAGTCTTCCCACCCCTGATAGCACAGCCACAGGAGTGTGCCCGGAGAAGGTCAAGGCAGCTCTGAGACAGCAGCCTACAGAAATAGCTGTGGCGAACCAGGGACCTCACTCCACCCCAAGCTGTCTTGATCTGGGGCGATGCCGTCAGCCCCCTTGGCCCAGCGTGAACTCTGGATGTTTGGGATCAGAGGAGACATTAACCATGTGGTTTCTAGAGAGTTACAGTTTCTGGACATTCTAAGCAAAGGAGCATTGGTGCCTTGAGAAGGGGGAGGGGGCAGGGAGGGACAGCGAGAAGGGCTGCTCATGGCCACGGTGGATGGGAGGTCCTGCCAGGTGCAAAGGAGAGGTTTCCGAGGAAACCCAAGCCTGCTGGCCTCCAGTCTGTGGCCTGGAATAGCAGCTCGACCTTTGGCATTCCTGTCACCCCACTCTGTTGATGCAAGGGGAGCTTAAGAGAACATGCTCTGGTCAGTGTGAGACCCCAATCAGCTTTGCCTCAGTGCATTCATTTCTCCTAGACCAGGCTGCAGGAAGTCCCCAGGAGGGGGGGCAGGTGGTCTTTCTGTCCACTAGGCTCAATGCCAAATGGGAGGCATCTGTGGACTCAGCATCAGAAAGGCAGCTGGGGCTTCCATGAAGGAGCCTGTCATACCGTGAGGTATTGCTGCTTTAATGAAAGCCAAGTTACGAACCTAAGGTCTCTAGTGTCCTCCACACCCTGCTCCCTTCTCTCGACTAATCTTTGCTTGGAGTGGGTGTGGGCAGGACCTTGCCCTCGGTTACCAGTAACGTGACTTGACCAAGTTCACTCAGCAAGCTGGGATTTAGAACCAGATGGGCTCTTTTCAGGAGTGGGTGTCCTTTGGCAGGATGCCAGCCCCAGGGCCTTCCCCCTTCTCACCTGGGGCTTGAGTTTGGGAACCTGGGCCAGCAGTGGACCCCTGTATGGGGCCTGGGCCCTGAGTCAGTGGTGGCAGACATTTTCACCCAGAATATTCAGAAGGAGACTCGTGTCACATGGTGTCCCAGTACACAGAGACTTAAAAGAAATTTTTTTTTTTAAACAGAGAAGGTTTCTCAACCCTCCTGGCTGTGAACTGGAGTTCACAATTAAAAATCCCTACCCTGATGCTGATGTCTGCAAAGCTGCCTCAATGAAGTGACTGTCCCTTATATGAAAAGAGCAGTTGGGGGCTGATTGGTTCTTGGGAACGTGTCATCCCACCCGCCTCAGCCCATTCCATATGTGAGGATGGGCCTCACCTTCCAGGTGCTTGACGATTCCCCGTAGGCTGTTCCCGTGGGCTGCAATGAGCACTCTCTTGCCAGCCTTGATCTGAGGGGCGATCTCATCATTCCAGAAGGGCAGGGCCCGTGCAATGGTGTCCTTGAGGCTCTCACACGTGGGCAGCTCCCCAGCTTTCAGGCCTGCATACCGACGCTCCTGGGGGCATCCAGGCTGCTGTTCACTCCCCAGGCAGGCACCCCCGCCTCGACCCGGCCTCCATCCCTGAAGGCCTGGGCCCCAGGCCTTCCCTTTGCCCTCCCCCGTCCCAGCACCTCACCTTGCTGATGGAGTGGTAGTAGGGGTGCTTCTCATCCATGGGGGGTGGTGGGATGTCAAAGGAGCGCCTCCAGATCTTCACCTGCTCCTCCCCGTGCTTAGCGGCCGTCTCTGCCTTGTTGAGGCCAGTGAGACCCCCGTAGTGCCGTTCGTTGAGGCGCCAGGTACGCACCACGGGCAGCCACATCTGGTCTGTCCCGTCCAGGATGGTCCAGAGGGTGCGTATGGCCCGCTTCAGCACTGACGTGTAGCAGATGTCAAATTCCATCTTTGCGTCCTTGATGGCCTGGGCCCCCCTCTTGGCCTCCTCAGCCCCCTTCTCGCTCAGCTCTGCGTCGAACCAACCACAGAAGCGGTTCTCCTGGTTCCAGGTGCTCTCGCCGTGCCGAACCATCACAAGGCGGTGGGTGGACATGGTGGTAGAGGTGGGGCCTGGCGGGCTGTGGACTGGGGCGGGTGACTCCCGGGTGCGCCAGCTTTATAACGGTCTGGCCCCAGCCCCCGCCCCAGCCAACTGCCAATCAGCATTCCAGGCCTGACAGGCGGTGGCAGGTGCCCAGTAGCAGAGTTGGTGTAAGGCAGGCCAAGAGCTCGACTTAAAATAGCCTCACCAGAGCCCAGGCTGGGTGGGGCTGCTGAGCAGGGCTGGCTGTGAAGAACAGAAGCCAGGGCCTCTGACAAGTCTGAAATTCGAGGGCTATCAGAAACAGAAGGGCTCTTTGGGGAAAGACCCCCAGATGTTGGGGCTCCCAGCCCTGTCAACCTGCTTGCTCTCTGCTCCCAGGGAACTTGTCACTCTTAGGCAGAGGAACAGTAAAGTCCTAACTGCTTTCTTTGAATCACTCAACACAACTGGGGCACAAGCCTGCATTTCAGTAAGGATATTAGTATGCTGTCAAAGGAACCAGAGTGTGTGAGTATGCACACGTTTGCCCACCCACGTGTGTGTGCCTGTGAGCACGTGTGTGTGCATGCGTATACTACATAGATGTATGTGTGCCTTGTACTCACATGTATGTTGCATGTGTGCTCGCACATATGCGTACATGTGAGCTGCCAGAAGGCTCCCCCCGTGGCTCTGCTCACCTATGAATGGGATCTGTATATTGGCAGGGGACCTTCCGCAGGACTCCTGACCTCCCTCCTCAGGTCCCTCTTGCCCTGGCAGACTCTGCCTTGCCTGCTCACAGGATGGGTCCTACAGAAGCCTCTGGCTGACAGCCAGGCTGGGAGGGACTGTGGTATCTCCACTAATCCCCTCAACGGACAGGGGAGAAGCAAAGGGTGCTGTGGGCAGAATGAGGGGATGGGTGAGGGCCACAGCCCTGAAGGGAGAGGTCTGGCCCTGTGGAAAGTGGCAGCAGTGTGGGGCAAGGGCTGAGGTGGGTTTCCAGGACAAATGAGAGCTGCAGGCCTGGCTGCTTGGGCCAGAGAGGGGCAGAAGGTTTTCTGCTCTCACATCCTTTTGTCAAGTTCTTTCCCACATCTGCCACACAATCCCATCCTACCTGTCTTCATGCAAGACAGGCTTATTCTTCTTAGTTGAAAGTACCTTTAAAAAGAAAAAGAAATCCAGGACTCATAAGGGGTCCCAGAATCAGAGGTACTGTGTGTTAGGTCTGTGCCCAGCTTATCAGAAGCATGCAGAGGTCAGCTGAGGTTGGGACTTGGGGGCAGTAGAGTTGGTTACAGGCCCAGGACTTCTGCATTCAGTTTTGGGGGGTCAAGGGCCACTGGGGTCTTGGCAGTGAAGAAATCAAGCAGAGGGGCGGGGTTAAGATGCCGAGTTGAAGCTGCACCAGCAAAGAACCAGTCTTTATAGACCACAAACAGGTGTGTGGTAAAGAGGCATGGAGGGCCTGGGTCCTGTGTCCTAATGATCAAGCATCACTGGAGAGTCTGAAGCACGATTGTAAACTCAGTTGCGGCTGTGGAGGCAGGATTGGAAGCCAAAGGCCCTGGTAGAGGTGGTGGTTTTGGGTTAGGTGTGAACGAGGCTGCTTAGCCTAGGCTGGGTGCAGATGGCTTGGTGAGGAGGTGCTAGACTGGGGAGCCACTGGGCTTACTGCAAATCAAAGGAAGAGATGGGACATACCTTTCTGTCTGTCTGAGGGATGTTGAGAAAACATGGGACCTCAAAGGGAGTTTTAAGATCGAGAAGACACACAGCTTCTCAGTCGTGGCTCACTTCAACCTGCCTCATTCATTCAAAAAGTGTTTGCTGGGCAAGTCTGGTGTGCCAGGGCTGTTCAAGCACTGGGCAAGCAAGGCTCTGCCTGGGGGGGGTCTCCATCCCAGTGATGGGACATAGACAGCAACATGTGATGTGTGTAGCACGGTGGACAGTTAAGAGGTCCATGGAGAAGCAAGCAAGGGGTAGGAGGACTGCTCTTTAATGGGACTGTCCTGGGAGGATGGAGTGAGCACCCTCCACTGGTCTGCCCATGACCACAGCTGTAAATCCTGGACAGGCAGAATGCAGATCTCAGAAAACAGAAAAGTATCAGGTAGATAAAGCAGGTCAGATTTTTTTCTTCTAGAATTTCCCAACTTGAAACCTAGAAGTATGCCCAATGTGGACAGAAAGGGCTCCAGAAACTACCTCTGGTCCAAGGAGTAGAAATAAAGTTCCTACAAGTCCCTTCCTTTTCTCCCCTTCTTACCACCACAGCTCCTGGGCAGTAATGCGGAGGTGGCACTGTCAGCCAGGCAGGTAGCTAAAACCGTGAGAGAAGAGCTACCCTCTAGCCAGAAGTGAGGCTACAAGAGTGCATGGCAACAACCCACTGCTTTCTCTCTCTGCCCTCCTGCAGCTGAGGACTGGATGCGGCTGCAGGAGCTGTGCAGCAAGCTGGGGCATGGAGGGGGAGTAAGACCCCAAATTTCTGGCCAGTGGCCTTGAAAAGCAGGGACCAGGTAACTGTCAAGTATCGGGGTAATCATAGAGAAGACAGAGATTAGGTGAGTGATTCAGTCCAGTTACAAATTAATTCCTGGGCTCCCTGCACTTGTGGTCTTCGACCTAGGCTGACCCACTGGTGACCTGATTATCTGCCAAAATGATAAGATCAGCATTCTTCTTAGAATTTAAACAGACTCTCAATATCCAGAATACCTAGGACAATTTTGCATGTGGCAGTCCAGTTTTCCCCAAACCATTTATTGCATGTCCTTTCCCTATTGTATATTCTTGGTTCTTTTGTTGTGAATTAGTTGACCACTCCAGGGTGGGGGTTTATTTCTGAGTTCTCTATTCTGTCCTTTGGCCTATGTGTGTGTTTTATGCCAATATCATACTTTTTTGATCACTGTAGCTTTGTAATATAGTTACAAAGAACTGTATCTCCAGCTTTGTTCCTCTTTTTCAAAATTCTTTAACTATTCATGGTCTTTTGAGGTTCCATACAAAGTTTTAGCTTTTTTGTTTTGTTTTGTTTACTCTTTTGAGAAAAATGCCATTGGAATTTTGATAGGGACTACACTGAATCTATAAATTGCTTTTTATAGCATGGACATTTTAACAATATTAATTCTTCCAGTCTATGAGCAGAGAATAGTTTTACACTTGTTTGTATTATCTTCAAATTTTTCATCCGTGTCTCAGGTTTCAGTGTATAGATCTTCCACCACCTTTGCTAAATTTATTTCTAGTTATTTTACTTTTTTTATGCAATTGTAAGTAGGATTGTTTTCTTAATTTCTTTTTCTGCTGTTTTTTAGTGTATAGAAACATAACTGATACTTGTATATTTTGTATTTCAAAACTTCATTGAGTTTATTAGTTCTGACAGTTCTAGATTTCTTCTAAATTGTTGAATTTGTTGGTATATAATTGTTCATAGTGGTTTCTTATGGCCCTTTATGTGTTCAGCTGTAATGTTATCTCTTCCTCTTTCATTTATAATTTTGTTTGACTCCTCTCAATAATGAGTAGCTAAAGCTTTGTCTGCTTCATTTGTTTTTTCGAAGAACCAGCTCTTTGTTTCACTGATATATACCATTATCTGTTCATTCATTTCTGCTCTGATTTTTGTTACTTCTGTCCTTCTACTAACTTTGGATTTTTCTAGTTCCTTGAGGTATAAGGTTAAATTGCTTATTTAAGCTCTTTCTTTTTCTTAATGTAGGTGTATATTGCTATGAACTTCCCTCTTTGAACTGCTTTTGTTGCATTCCATATGCTTTGGTATGTTGTATTTCCATCTTCATTTGTTTCAAGATATATTTTGGTTTCTCTTTTGACTTCTTTTTTGATTCATTGATTATTTAGGAATATATTATGTCATCTCCAATATTTGTGAATTTTCCAGGTTTCTTCTTGCAGTTGATTTCTAGTTTTAAACCATTGTGTTCAGAAAAGATGCTTGGTATGGTTTTGGTATTCTTAAATTTATTAAGAACTTGCTCTGTGGATATGATCTATCTTGGAGCATATTCCATGTGTGCTTGAGAGGAGTGTGTATTCTGTTGATAGATGAAATGTTCTGTATATGTCTGTTAAGTCCATTTGGTATAATACATGGTTTTAAGTCTAAGTTTTCCTTATTTTCTGTCTATATGATCTATCCATTGTTGAAAATGGGATACTAAAGTCCCCCATTATTACTGTGTATATCTGTCTATTTTCCCTTCATGTCTGTTAATATATACATAAATATATAATATTTAGTAAAGATATATAAATTATACAAATATATAATATATATATAATAAATATATATTTGCTTTCCCTAATGCAGGTGCAAAATATTTTTGGGGGGTATTCACCTTTTTAATTTTAATTGGAGGCTAATTATTTTACAATATTGTGGTGGTTTTTGCCATACATTCACATGAATCAGCCATGGGTGTACATGTGTTCCCCATCCTGAACCCTCCTCCCACCTCCCTCCCTATCCCATCCCTCTGGGTCATCCCAGTGCACCAGCCCTGAGAACCCTGCCTCATGCGATCAACCTGGACTGGTGATCTGTTTCACATATGGTAATATACATGTTTCAGTGTTGTTCAAAAATCATCCCACCCTCGCCTTCTCCCACAGAGTCCAACTGTCTGTTCTTTACATCTGTGTCTCTTTTGCTGTCTCACATATAGGGTCATTGTTACCATCTTTCTAAATTCCATATATATGTGTTAATATACTGTATTGGTGTTTTTCTTTCTGACTTACTTCACTTCCATCCTGAACCCCCCTCCCACCTCCCTCCCCATCCCTCTGGGTCATCCCAGTGCACCAGCCCTGAGAACCCTGCCTCATGCGATCAACCTGGACTGGTGATCTATTTCACATATGGTAATATACATGTTTCAGTGTTGTTCAAAAATCATCCCATCCTTGCCTTCTCCCACAGAGTCCAACTGTCTGTTCTTTACATCTGTGTCTCTTTTGCTTTCTCACATATAGGGTCATTGTTACCATCTTTCTAAATTCCATATATATGTGTTAATATACTGTATTGGTGTTTTTCTTTCTGACTTACTTCTCTCTGTATAATAGGCCCCAGTTTCATCCACCTCA